TCTCCAGAAGTGATGCACTGCTTATCAGCGTACCTGAGACCATGGCTGATTTCTGTGACGGTTTTGATGTGATCTTCACGAAACAATAGTGGAAGGTCTAGTATTGCTGTGCAGTGAAGGCTTCTAGATATTACATAATGCTAAAAGATAATATATACTGAAAAGGTATAGTTGAGAAAGTTAATGGTGCCTGAGTCATGGAAAACTACAGATAGTATTGATGCCTTGGTCATTTCCATAGCAAATTATACTGTTGAGTGTGTAAATGAAGACAGATATCAATTGGAAGTAATACTCTAATGATGTTCTTTAAAATGTCTGCCTTGCATGCTGTTTTATGCAGCATCCTTAGGAGCCATCTCTCATTTTGTATGTAAATAACTACTGCAGACTGGCAGTGACTGAATCTCTTTCTGTCTATATGCCAGTATTTAAACAAAATCCAAAATTGTGAAGTTTGTACAGAAAGTCTGCAGGCTTTTCTGGAACTTTTTCTGGAACAGTTTTTCCAGCTGTTCCTATGTCATACTTGTCACATTTCCAGCTGGACTGAAGGTGCTTTCCTGGACTAACTCAACTGCTAGGGAGAGGAAAAGGCACATGCAGCCTTCATATACCATAGACGATCATGATATACTGGAGGCAGAGTGGGTTTACAGAATGGAAGCTATCCAGCACTGTATAATGATCAAGGATTTGAGTGTGACCTAGCAAGAAATTGAGAACTTAGACCAAAACTTCTAGAAAACTGTCAATGGGATGTCAGCCCAGACCTAAAGGACAAATATCAATAAACAAGAAACATCCCATAAACAAATGTTTTGCAAGACCACAAGCAGAGTTGGACACTCAGAGCTAGTCTGTGTTGGCAATCATCCTACAGCCCTACAGACACACCAGGACTACAAAGGAGATAGGAAAATGTAACACTGATGATGCAAAATGATTGGCATTGCCTGCTGGCAGGTGTGACATCTGTTTTCATTTTCAGTGCTGGATGGCAAGAGGTTGAACAGATTTGAGTTTTGGAGTTACACTCTCCTTCACTTGAAGTTGCAAATTCTCTCAGCACATTTGTACTGGTAACTTCATGGCAAAACTTTCCTTGCTAGACTGCAAGTTTTGTAGTGATTTATCCATTAGACTCACCCTTTCTTTAGACTCACCCTTTCTCTTACAGAATTATCCCTCAATATCTCCATGTTTGAGATAAACATTCAGAGCACCCAAACAGCGACTCCAATACAATTGTCATCTTGGCAAAACTTTCCTTTTGTCCCTTTCCCTCATCCACCATGAGATCAGCCCTTAAAAATGGCAGACTATGAAAAACTTACCCATGGGATATGGGATGCTTGTGAGTGAAGTGCTCTGCTTAAGCACCACAAGTTAGAAGTTGAATTTCAGTCTCAAAGGGAAATAAACGAGGAAACCAATGAACAATCAGAGCAGGCATAAGCAATTTTTTCCATTCAGTACAGTTCTTAACAAGGCTCTTCAATAAATTCAGTAAAATGTTTATTGACATGTTCAGACCTCTCCAAAACCAAAACACATCCCAAAACATATGGCTGCAATATGTAAGGCAGAAGTAAGCAACACATTGCACAGCACTGCTTCCAAGACACAAACACAATGAAATCTCAGGAGGTCTAACATTCACTGGGAAACAATATTCATAGCACAGTGAATATTGAGTGTGCCCACAAGAAATATCAAATGCCTGCACTGGAAGACTTTAGTATATGCAGCATGGCCCAGCAAAGCTGCCTTTGTCCAGAGTTGCTGCATCAGGGGGTAACAACCTGGTAACCTATAACTACCTGCCTCTCAGGATCTTTCTTCTTTCTTTGGATTTGGACTCTTTCACTGATGTCAGCATTACCTGTATAAAAGCACACTTTACTACTAACCTGGCTTTAGCAGTCCTCACTCCTTAGCATCCTCATCATACTTCACTTACAATACTGTGACAAGGGAACCTAACTCCTGGTTTATAGCTTCATGTCACCTCTCCAACATGCATTAAAACACAGTGATGTGGCAATACCTGTACAGCAAATGGCCAGCTCACTGGAAGAAGTCATTTCTTGAGTTGTGTGCATCCTGCAAAGAACTAGAGAGAAACTGAGTAAAAAACATTAAAGGTGTCTTTAAAATGTGGAAAAGACCGGGGCTGGTGTAACTGATGCCAAGCAGGGTATCAAAATGGACAAAGGAAGTGGCAGGAAAAGCATATATGATTACAGAGCAGAGCCAGACTACAGCTAAGCTCAGTACACAAACAAATTGACTGGAGCAGAGGTTCTGATGCTTGTTTGCTAGATGGAGACCACACCGTCACTATTTAAATACAAGCCTCAGCGGTCACTTTAAATGCCCTGCTACAATAACAAGTGTAAAAACAAAGATGGAGGTTTAGTCCACGACTGTCACCTTGTGACTATACTATCTGACATTTACAGAAGTTTTTTATAGAGCAATTGGAATACAACTGCTCACAATTAAAATAAATCACAAAATAAGCAAACCGATGGCTGGGTGTCACACCATAACACATTTTTTTCCAATTGTTTGGTCATTTTCCCAAATCTTTTCCAAACCCTTCCAGTTTTTGGATGGCTCTCCTGAGCAGTTGGTTATTTTAATAACAATGTACTGGTGACAAGTACAGAGATTATGTCACCTCCCCACTCCCACTCAGTATTTCTATGTGCATGTGCTTTGCAAAGACTGCAGTAGCCTTTTTAGCATCAACAACATACCATGAGCTCATGCTCAGCTGATAATGAAATCCTCCTTCCCCTCCAAGTCTGTGAGTCACTGACTAGGAAGATAAAATCTCCTATCTAGTTTGGTTTCCAATTAATGGTCTGTATAATATTCACAATGCTGGCAATGTGCTTTGTAAAAAATTCAGCACCAAATTTTGCGAGGGGCAGAAATAATGAGATCTGCTCTTGTGCATCTGCCTGCCTGTGCTGTGTCTGGAGGGGTGGAGGCACAGAGTTTCCGTCAACTAGGTTGCCCTTCCCTGCCCACCTGAGCACTTTAACAAAACAGGCTGGGGTAATATAGTAAAGCCTCTATCCCTCTGCCAAACCTGAAGTTTGGCAGAAGTTTTGTAAGTAAAAGGAGAAAGGAAAAGGCAAAGCAGACAGGAACACAGCCATACATACTATGTTTTCCCAAGAGATTAGATTAAATATCTGAGATGTTCTTCTGCTAAAAATTAGAAAAAGCTCTTGGATACTTTTCCTCTCTCTGGCTGAGCAGGATGGACTCCATGAGTGAGCGTATAAATATATACATTTATATAGGGTTGATCCTTCCAGCAGCTGGGCTCTAGTCAGTGAAAATGGGACTGTGATGTGCTGCTGGGGGATTTCCCTGCTGCCGTTGCCTCTCTGTGCTCCTCTGTGGGTGTGTGGATGAGCTTTTATCAGTTAACTAAATACCCTAGTCCTGGTGCCTCTGAAGCTTGCCACCAGCCTGGCCTCCACCTCCCGCAGTGAGGTGAGGTGATGGTACCACACATCACCCTTAGGCTTTCTCATACCAAAGCCTAACCCAGACAATCTCTGGCATTCAACCCCTGGCTAGACTCAACCACCCACCTGTGTTCAGCCACATCTCCTGTAGCTCTTCTATCTATCCCCCATATTATTCTCCTCAGGCAGAAGCATCTAACAGCATCCTGATGCTGCATGTTCATTGCTGCTGGAGGGGTTTCATCGCCAGCACAACAAACTTCACTGTTCTGTAATATATCTTCTGAGGAAAAGCACATTGAAACTGCACTTCTTACAACAGGAGGAAGCCTCACAGGGATTAAGCAAAGTTCTTCCACGGTTCACAGGCACCTGAGGTTCCAAATCAGTGCAGTTCATGATCAACACTACCCACCTTCTCTACGTACTGCATGATGTGCAGAGGGAACCTGTCCTATGAAAACCCAGTGGAGCACAGATAATGACAGTGCCAAGAGCTGCACTTCTGTACCAACTACTTCTGAAGGAGCTCAAACTCATTTATATCCCAACTTCAAAATCGAGTGGGGCAGACTGAGCCCCACTCAAATATATACATATTTTAATTTGGTTTACTTAATAGCTCTCTGCCATTAAGTCTGCTCAAAAACTGACTGTAACCCAGATTATGCATTCTCCAGAAACACAGCATACAGTGGGAAGCTTGTGTTTCTTCTTTGCGAGGTTGTGGGAACATGACTGCTATGTGAACATCACACCAGTAGGAGTGCGATGATGCTGTTCTTGCCATTGCAACAAAGCTGGAAGCATCCATCCCTGCAAAATCAAGCATTAAACATGGAAGCTGGCTGCCTTGCCTGTGGCAGGGGTTTGGAGCCTCATGATCCTTGAGCTCCCTTCCAACCCCGGCCATTCTGTGATTCTCTGAAAATCCTGAACCCAGAGAAGACTGACTCCAGGCACCAGGATGCACAGGAGGCCATGCAACTGGAAAGCACATTTGCTGGAAAGGACGTGGGCTTCCTGGTGGACTCTTAAGTTGAGCATGAGCCAGCAGCATGCTCTTACTACAAAGCTTAGCAGTATTCTCAGCTGTATTAAGAAAAGGAACGGGAAGGTGGAATCGCTGACTTGTCTCCGTGAGATGGTTCCCAGAGCAGCAGCACAGAACCCAAGCGCCAGGCCTGAGCTCTTATCTCTCAGTCAACGCAAAGCAAGGCGATAAGCCCCACACGAACCACCGCCAACGGCCTCCACAAAGCTCCGAGCCCGCCTCCACCGCAGCTGTCAATCACGGCCGGGCACGCGCGCGGCAGCTTCTCTTTGTGTCTCCCTCCCTTCTCCTGTCTCCGTCCGCGTCACCGGCTCCGCAGTCACGTGCCGGGGGCGGTGGCGGCATGGCGGCGCCCTATCGCGCTTCGCGGAGCCGTCGCAGAGCGGTGACGCGACGGCGGGGCGCGGGGAGGATGGGGCTCTGAGGGCGGCCACCGCGCCGGACACCCCGCGCCGCGCCGAGCGGGAGCAGCGGGTGCCGCGCCGGGGCTGCGGGCCGTCAAGGGCCCCGCCGCCGTCTTGACAGTCGGAGGAGGCGGTAAGGAGCGCGCGGAGCGCGCGGGCAGCGGGGCGGGTGGCCCCAGTCTCCGGCACCCTCCGGGAGGGCCCGGCCTGGCTCGGGGCTCCCGCGGCCCCTCACGGTCTCCGGGCCTGGCCGGGCCGCTCCCGCAGCCTTTCCTGCAGCCTTTCCCGTGCCGGGATCCGGCGGGCCGCGCCTGTACTGGTTCTCCGGCGGGGTCCTGGTCAGTGGGGGCCCACCCGTGCTCGGCGCCCCTTTGTGCCCGCCGTCCTTGGCAAGCGGCGGCGAGCCCCTCGGACCGCTCCCTCTCTGAGGCGGCTGCCTGCGGTCGCGCTGCCGGTTCGGGCACTTGAGCCCGGCTGAGAAACTGGGGTTCTGGTGCTGCTTCGCTGGTGGTCTGGGCGAGGAAGGCTTTGGCCGTGCAGCCTGGCACCCTTCAGTGGGCGTGCGGCGGGAGCCTGCGGCCTCCTCAGCTGCTGTGTGCTCGGCGGCGGTGGAACGGCCGCTCGCGGTCATAAGGGTACTAGGGCAGGAAAATCATTTTCTGACAGTGACTGAATTACTGAAAAAAAATAGGACAGTCTTCAATGGAGCATACTTAGTGGTAAGAATGAGACTCAACACTGCACGGAAAGGCTGAAGATGCCTCCCCCCGCTCCCTTTTTTTTTTTTTTTTTTTCCCTTTGTTTTTGGTAGTTTCATTTAACTTGCCTTTTAGGCTATGTTTGTCTTTTCATTTGTGTTATTTGTAGTGGTTGGTTTTCCAGCTTGTTTTTTATGACTTATTCGAGGTTTACTCTAAGTCTCTCCAATAAGTATGTTCCAAAAACACATCAAGGATCTACAGCATAACATTTCAGACGTGAGCACAAGTTTTGTCTTTCTGAGTTAGGCTTCGGGTTGATGACTGTTGTTTGTTTGTTTGTTTTTCTGAAAGGAAGGCGCAGAGAAATCAAAAACGGGTTTTTTGAATGCCTTGTTCAGATCTTAAGTACACTACCAAAGGCAAAGCATCTAATAGCAATAAAATGAAAATTTGGAGAGAAACTTCGTAATGTTTCCAACTTCTGGTATGTGTTTGCTGTCAGTGGCACCTTTTAGACATCGTTATGTGCTTTAATATGATCTTTCTTTTTTTCCTCCAAAGGTAGTGATAAAGAATATCAAGATGAGTAAAAAGCCTCCAAATCGTCCTGGAATCACATTTGAGATTGGTGCTCGTTTGGAGGCACTGGACTATTTACAAAAATGGTATGGAAGACCCTGTGTAGTGTTTGCCAGCAAAAAAAATTATTCTGTGTGTATTGTATGGTTTGATGCTCAACTGAAAGTATAGTATATCTACTAATTGTCTGCTTTATGTAAGAACTTCATAACTTTATGGATGCTTTTTTAAAAAGACTTTCGAGGTGTAAGTAAATACTCTCTCTTCAGAAATCAAACAGCACTTTTCTGTGGGATCTGTGATTATAGTTGCTTGTGAAACCATAGTAATTGAAAAACTTTTCTAGAGTACATCAGTGTGATGTGCAAGATAACCAGATGTGTTAATGTGGCAGACTTCTGTGACTAAAGACTAATTTTGTTTTAAGTTTGAAAGTATGCGAGTAGGTTTTTCTATTCCACTGTTGTACCTCCTAGGATTGTAAAACTAGTTTAAGAAAGGAAAACATCCTTAATCAGAGTCCATGGAGCAGGTAAGGTATGTTTGCATCAAACATCTGGAGGAGCAAAGTGCTTAAAACTGTGACTACCACCAGGTGTTCTGTAATAGCTGTTAGTATAAAATGGGAACCTGTTGGGCACAAGGATGCTGCTACACTACATATATGTTGTGAAAGGAGTTCTTTGAAAGATAAGTTCTTAGTCAAAATTTAATTAATGCAAGTAGAGTAGTTTCATGGCATATGCTGACCATGATGTTTCAGTTTGGAGAAGGTCTGGTTAGTAGTTGGGGCATCTATCCAGAAGCTTTTTTCTTAGCTGCCAAGCATAACTGGTTAGTACTAGGGAAGTGTAAAGGCCTGTACCTACTGCTCTGATGGGTTTTTGGAGAACGGAGCATCCTAATGTTCATGTAAATATTTGATCCTGCTTACTCCAAATTATGTGATGAGAAGGCTGTTATTTCCATGATTACTCCGTGTCTGTATAAAAAAGCTTAACTTTTTTTTCCTTTAAGGCTTTAAATACAGCCAAACAACTTGTCTTAATAAAGACTCTCTGAAGGAAAAATAGGCTTTAGAAAACAGTTCTTATATGTTGCTGTAGAAACATTTCCAAATTACTCATTTTTTAACTGAATGCCCAGCAGCAACGGTAGCTGAGTGCTTGGTATTTTCAGGCAGAATAGGGTTTATTCTAAATTTTCTAGGAACTGATTCACCATCTGGACTATTGGATAGAATAGGTCAAGTTTTACGTGTGTGAACAGTGATGCCATATATAGGAATAGGAAGTTAATATTCAAATTTTGCATTTGTGTCGGATACTGGGAACAAGGCTCTTTTTCAAACAAAATAATATTCATGCACATAACCAACAAGCTTTTTAGGTAAGAGCTACTGTTATGTTCTTAGGATAACAGTGTCTTAGCTGTGTAACTGTTGCATAAGGTGGTGGTGGATGCTTTTTAAGTCCTTGCTATATATGTACACTATAGGCATTCCCCTCATATGCCTGCAGAAATAGAACATATCTCGAAAAAAAAAAAAAAAAAAAAGTTGCTTAGCATATATGGAATCTTTGTTTTTTTAGTAAAGCTAAAAATGAAGAGCAGTATTACTACAAGAACCAGAGTGAAGAAAAGCATTTGCTCAAAAATAACATTGTTATCATAATAATGTAAAAGGGGGTTTGCTTTTGTTTTTTAAGAAAGTCTCCTGTTATATAGAGATCCAACGCTCACAAAATAATAAATTTTAAATGATAATCTTTTCTTGGTTAAAGAAGAGCATAATTATTAAAATTCTGCATGAATTTTGCTTTTGGAGATGTTTCTACAGCATGTAAATTTTCAGCAGTTGCTGAAATTTACCTAATGGAAATTGATACATTGTTTGAATTTCTTAAATTTTGGAGATATTGTGGGTCTTCACTGTTAATTGCTTTTAAAAATAAGTTTTTTGCAGACAGTGTTTGGGTTATGATGTTTGTTGTGTGTGAGAACTGAGCAGTGGAAAGCACAGACAAACTCGTCAGTAAAGGCAGGCTGTCAGTGAGACTTTTTATTTTTCATATTGTTTTGCTTTATTTTGGAGGTGATCCCAGTTGCTTCATTATGAACTGAAAAACATTGAGTTACAGGGGAGATGACCTGAGACAATGAATTTATTTCACTTGTTAAATTTTAACTTGCAGAGGTGAATTCATTATGAAATGCAGCTCTAAACAAAGTCCATGTGATCATCTGTCAGCAAGTAGTGAAGGAGGTGGGATTGACTGATAATAGAAAATTAGTCAGTAGTCAGGGACGTGGAGCATGAGACCCATGAGGTGAGGTGAGTAAACTAGGTTTGTTCAGCTTGTAGGATAGAAGACTTCAGGAGACCAACCAGCGATGCCAATGATGAAGACCTAGACAAGCTCTAGTGTCTAGTGGGAGGATAGAGACGACAGTAGAATCTGAAAGAAGGATTTCAGGCTGGGTAGATACAAGGAGAATGGTTTTCCTCATGAGGACAGGCAGGGGAGCAGGCTGCTCAAAGAGGTTTGTGGTGTCTCCAAGCCTGGAGCTTCTAAGGCTGGACTGGATAAAGCTTTAGGCAACCTGCTGTGATTCTGCCAGCGACCCTGCCTTGAGTGAGTGGAAGCTTTCTGAGGTTTCTTATGATTTCATAAACACTGATGCCTGATATCTTACAATCTCATAAACAGTGATACACGTGGGCAGCTACTTATACCTCTCACTGACAAAACAAATGAAACAGTGGTAGAACTGTGTATTGTAACTATGTGCCCATTTGTAAGAATGGTTCTTAGGCTGATAGCTCCCATGAAGTGGTACACAGTCTGTGTAAAGTTAATATATTTAATAGTAGGTATTTTTTCTTCCGTGTTCTTGTGACTTCAGCTCACTATTGATTGTCCCATAAGTTGCAGGTATTGCCTTCAAGACAGTTATTTTTCTGAGACATAATGTTTGTTAATTGTGTGTGAAAAATCTAAGCTGTGAATTATGTACCATTGGAAATACAGGCATATGGCTCTTAAAGCTCTGGAATGGAAAAAGTCATTCAAATAAGTTAATTGTCAGAATAATAGCACTTTGAGTTGGCATCTTTTGTTTTACTTGTTTTTTTTCTAGTACCATAAAATCATAAATTCTTTTGAGTTGGAAAGGATCAGTAAAGGTCATGTGGTCCAACTCCTCTCAGTGAAGAAGGATGTCTTACAGCAGTACTTCTTAATGAAGTATTGCTTAAAGCCCGGTCCAGTCTGACCTTGAATGTCACTAAGGATGGGGCGTCCACCGCCTCTCAGAACAACCAGTTCCTTACCACCCTTAGAGTTAACAAGTTTTTCCTTATGTCCAATCAAGCTTGGTGTCATCCACAGACTTGCTGAGGTGAGCTCAACTGTGCTGTCGATGTTGCTGATGAAGATATTAAAGAGCATCAGTCTGAGTACTGACCCCTGAAGGGCACCACTTGTCACTGTTCTTCATCTGGACATCAAGCCATTGACCCCTGGGTACCAATCTTGTAACCAGTTCCTTGTCCTTTGAACAGTCCACCCATCAAATCCATATCTTTCCAATTTAAGGAAAGGATGTTTTAGGGGAGGGGTCCATTTAAAAAGGCCTTTCCAAAGTCTGGATAGATGATATCAGTGGCTCTTCCTTGTCCATTGATGCAGTTACACCATCATAAGAAGAGACAAGTTTCATCAGGTGTGATCTGTCCTTGTTGAAACCATGCTGATTATCCCGTTTACTTTCCTCTCTTCCATATGTGTTTCTGTAACTTCCAGGAGGATCTACTACATGATCTTCTCTAGCACTGAGGTGAGGCTGATGGGCTGGTAGTTTTGAGATATCCTTTCTACCCTTCTTAAAAATGGGTGTGATGCTGTCGTTCTTCAGTCACTGGGGACTTGACCTGATTGTTGTGACTTTTTAAATATCATAGAGAGTGGGATGCATCTCATCAGGACCAGTAGGCTTATGGGTGTTCAGATTCTTCAGGTGATCACTAACCTGATCTTTGCTTACAGAAAGAGGGGCAATGCTACCCCAGTTCCTCTGAATGGGGAAGGATGTGTGAAGGAAGAACATGTGAAAGGAAGGTTCTTCCTTGTAATGCTTTGGGTAAAGTTAGTTTTTAGACCTCGCTTTAGATTTCAGTTGACTGGATTACCTGATAGTTGGTTATTTGAAGGAGCACAAGACTATTGCCAAAATGTAGGGTAGAAGGTAGGGAGGTAGGAATAGGTTTTGCAGACTATTTAAATACAGGAAGACTATTTGTGGATAGGTCGGAATGGAGCACGCTTACTGTTTTATCCTCTACGAGGCAGAAGGAAACATTTTTTTAATACATTATTGTGAAAACAGGAAGTATGTGTCTATTTCATGTCTTTCTTAGCTGCAAACTGAGAAATTGCGTAGTGTTTTTTGCATACATATTTACAGTTTGAAATCTCTGTTTTCCCACCTCACATGGTAACTTACTGGCTGTTGTGACTTTTGAAGGGACAAATGTAAGGCAATATAAAAATGAAGAACATTGCAGTTGTGGCTATTTATTGGTTGACTGGAAAAAAAATATATTTTCTGGAAATAAGAACTGGAAATTTTCACATTATTTTTTCCTATTTGAGTGTTGGAGCAATTTTGTTTCATGATGTAAGTTTTGTAAACCATACACATTTTACAGGTTCACTGAAATGTTGCAGAACTCCTCAAGTTCGAGAGATACCAACTTTTAGAACAGAGAACGTGGAATATTTAAACTATCAACTATCAGTAGTTCCCCTATTCTCTCTTTAAAATCAACAACTGGACAAGACTTCTTTTGTGATAATTCAATACAGTTTCACGTATGCTTGCACACTAGTGAAAATAAAAGCAGCCAACAAGTGTTGCCACAGGAAAAATACTTTCCTTATTGAACTGGAGTGTGGCTTTTTTTTTTCCTGCACAAGTTCCTCAATATTTTAGAGGATAATTTACTGTTCGTTTGCACAGATGGCTTCTGTGCAACATTTCCAATAGTAAATTCTGCAATGTGTGCTCTTGTCTTTTCCACTGTGGGATTGGTGCTGTGAAATGTTGCTGTTTATGCACAATTGTTTATACAGTTGTGGCACATTATGTGGCTAATTTTAAAGGATATTGAGGGCAACATCTTGTTGCTAAATCCATACAATGTTATCTTTGGTTTGCCTAATGATAGTGGCATGAAGCTTGAGTGGTAGGGAGATCACTGAAGACATGCATCCCTGAGGTCTGGACTTCATTGCAGGTTTTGGCTTTATTGAGCTTGTCATCACTGTCTTAACACACATTGAAGAAGCAGAGGTTACTGGAATAAAGACACTGTGATGTTGTTGTTTTAGGTTTTAGCTGTCTGAAAGCAGTATCAAGGGCTTTGTTAGCACTACCTGTATTCCTCAAAGGAAAATGAACTTTGGGTTGGATTTACCCTAGTGAGACTTCATGTTTTGCATCCTTAATTTTATTAATTACTTCTAGCTTTGCTTTCTTTTTATTTTTATTCTCCAAATATGTTAGTCTCGAATCTTGACTAGCTGAATTCTACTTAAAACTATCTTCACTTCGTACACTTGCCTCAAGCTATCTCTTGTATTTCATTTCTTACTCTGTTTTCTTTTTCCAGGATTGTACAATCTTCTCCTCATTTTTCTTTTCTGTTTTACTTCAAAGTACAGTTCTCAAAATGGTGATTGTGCCGCTGATGAGCAGTTAAACCTACTTTAGCAAGAGAAATGCTGTAGGACAGTATCATAACAACTAAAATATTACTGTGGAAATGCCTAGAAAAATAATTCAGTTTTCATAAAGCAGCCATAGTTTTGTATCACCTTCTTTCTCATATTTCATTAAACAGTTTTTTGATGTCATGAGAGAATACCTTTGCTTTTGTTTTTCATTTCTCTACTGCAGCTTCAGTGCTTCTCATTTTTGTGCTTCAGCTCTCATTTTTGATTGCTTCGAAGTCCTTCTTCAGGGTTTTTCCTTCCTTCAATCTGTTAAGTACTTGTATAGTCTTTTGCTTCTGTTTGGAACTCTTTCAGGTAATGTTGCTACCCATATGTTTCCTGTAGTAACTATAAATTTACTAAAAGAAAAAAAAAAAATGGAGCAAGGCTTTTTTCAGTGGTGTTCAGCCAAGACAAGAATCAGTGGGCACAAAAGGAAGTTATAGCTGACCATAAGGAAGCACTGCTATGCTGTGCAGGCGTTTGAACTATGCTACAGGTTGCCCAGAGGCTATAAAGTCTGTTTGGAGAACTGCAAAAGCTGCCTGGATGTGGTTCTTGGCACCCTGCTCTGCATATCCCTGCTCGAGCAGGGGGTGGACCCAGATGTCCCTGCTGCTTTTTGCTGCTTTTTCCTTTGCTACTCTTCCTGCTTATTCTGACACATCCTGACTAGTTACTTGTCAAAGGACTTTGGAAAGCAAAGAAAGGAATGGAATGGAATGGAATTAGGGTGGAAGTCTGTCGACTTGAGAAGAAATGATGGTCAGAGACAGGGAAAATCAATTCTTGTCTGCCTTTATGTTCTTAAAACTCTCTTTTTCAGAGTTAAACCAGTATGTTTACCAAGGTGAGATTTCTTAAACCAAAATGACATGATTTTATGACCTATGAATTTTGCTTTCTGTCTTGGTAGAACATATTAGTTTCACTCTTCTTTTTTTATTGTTATCAACCTACTTTAGAAGTGAAAGGAGGCTGATCATATTGCTCCTCTGGAAAAGTTCAGTGGAATTCTTATCAATGAAAACATTTTTTTAGTAGGGTGGAAAACTCATCTGGAGTGTGGGGTTGAAATGTTGGCTTGTGAAGTTGAATGGAACTAAGTTAGGAACTTATGGAATTGGCTATGAAGATGCTTTACATTTCTGAAATACATGGATGATTGAAATGAAATAAGACAGTTGATTCTTCACGTGTTCTGGTGCAAGAATGAGATGTGGCTGAAGTTGATGCAGTAATAACCTAGAAAATCAAAGAGAATTTTTCTGTCCCTGGTTCTGAAAAGTTTAGACACTGGGAAGCTGCTGTATGTGGGGAAGCAACTGAGGAAGTAAGTCTGGAGAAATTATCAGGGTGAAGGAACAAGTTGGGTTTGATGTTTTTTTATTTTAATGCCCTTTGCCTTATAGTTGCCAGAAAGTTTAATATATTCAATTGGAACCTAGTGTTAAAGATTTTTTTCATCATCCTCAGTATTTTAAGAGAAAATGTACAATAACTGTGTTTTTCATTTTAAATGTTGAATGCATTTCTGACTATTTGGGTGTGCATTAGGACTGAAAATTGATTGCTCAGACTCTGCACTTTTTATTATTCCTCAGCAGGGACGTTTTGTTTGAGGAACAGGTTATCTCTTAACAAAAGTGGAAGACAGCTGTCTTTTTGTGGTGACCTTTCTTTTAATGCATTTTTTATTACCTTTAGGTCATCCGTATTTTCCTCTGTTCTTCTATTATGTTAGCTGTTTGGACATGAGAAATTGTTTCTAGTTCAGTTGTGTTACCCAGATCATAAACTCTGGAGAAAATATGATATTCTAATTCAGAGATTCTTTGCACTTATGAATTTGTTTCAGTATTCTTGTTACATGTAGGAAGAACTGATTTCTGCTTCATTCCAATTTTCTCTGCATTTCATATAGTAGAAGGGTATCTAATGAGTTTTGTTTGGGAAAGTGTAAGTGTTTGTGACTTGCTGCCCTGCTTCAATTTTGTGCAGTACATCACTTTGTTAAAGCAGAGAGATTCAGTAGTTATTGCTGAAGTTAAAGAAATTTGCCATTTTTTCCTTAAAACATTACCAAATTGTTATGGTTCCTGAAATACCATTTCTGGAATGGTTCCAGAAATTTGTCAGAATCTGTTGCATCTGCCACAGCCAAATGATGCCTGGGACTCAGCGTGGTTGTCCTCATTAGTCCTGCAGATTGCATACTACTGCGTTTGCTGTGAGGAAAACCCATAGATTAAGTGGCATACATATTTCAATGCATGCGTGCTTACAAAATGGTGGTTGTCAAAAAAAAGGTCTCTGTGAATCAAATTCAATGTCAGTGAAATCCACAAATTAAAAAGTGACTTAGACTAAGAGTGTTCTGTTGACCTCTGGATTTGATTAGTTGCTCAGATTTGTCTGCAATGCATGAAATGGCTTAATGAAGTATTTCATTTACTAAAAGTAATGGATGTGTTTTATGTTCTACTTATTTTATGTTCTACTTATCCTCATATGACAAAAATTGTTACAGGCTTTTGCTTCAAATGAGCACAGGTTTTAAAGCTGTTAGAACACAAACTTCTGATGCCCATTTCAGGCAGCTTTAGTCTGGCAGTTTCAGACTTGCATCCTTTGATAAAGCTGATGGCATCACTGATGTGTATAGATCACTCTTAAACTAATAGTAGGATAACATGTAGCATCTTGATTTATTTATTTTTTTTAGACTTGGAGATTTCTCAATACAAAATGTTAGTGTAACTTGTTAGTATAAATTTTTCAGTAGTCATGTAAGTGCTGTTATATGCAGAACAAACCCAGAGCACCAAAACTCTTGAATATCAGTTTGTGTTTATTGTTCAAGGTATCCATCTCGTATTGAGAAGATAGACTATGAGGAGGGGAAGATGCTGGTCCATTTTGAACGTTGGAGTCATCGCTATGATGAGTGGATTTACTGGGACAGCAACAGGTTGCGACCCTTGGAGCGACCAGCATTAAGGAAAGAAGGGCTGAAAGACGATGAAGAATTTGTTGTAAGTGGCACGTCCGTTTTGGTTATCACTGCTCTTGGAAAACTGTCCTACTTGGTTTCCTGCATCAAATCTCCCTAGTATGTAATGTTTAAGTCTTTGTGGGAAAAAGTTTAAGTGCTTAAAATATTAATAACTTTTTTTTTGAATAGGATTTTAAGCCTGGTGAAGAAGTCCTAGCTCGTTGGACAGATTGTCGATATTACCCTGCAAAGATTGAAGCAATTAATAAGGAGGGTATGTATTCATGTATGGTTCATCAGTAGGGACTTTGTGCTTATGCTAAGCTATTGCTGTAGTCAACTTAGAACAACAAAAAAAAAACCCAAAATCCACAAAACAAAAACCCATACAAACAAACACATACATATAAAGTTTTCCTTATTGCCTCAATGTGTTGAAAATGTTTATTCTGTCAAATTTAGTAAGGGTCTTTTATCTGTCTGAAATTAGAGTACTGAAATTTATCCTCAAGGATAAAATGCTGAATGTTTGCTCAGCAATGGAAGGATATTGCTTGTACAGTTAGAAATATAGTGCTCTTATTGTTGACTGGGCTACCACCACTGGATTTAAGTTCTCTTAGTTGTTTCAGGAAGTGATCTTTTAGAAATACAAATGATTTGAAGAAAAAATAATGAAAGCACAAAAGTAAAAGAGCAGTGTAATTTAGCACTTCTTAATGGAGCAGTATTTCTACTGAGTTCAAGTAGAATAAAAAAAGAAAACAAATACCTTCCTGTATTTTAAAGCAAATAAGAATTTGATTGTGAACTGTTTCCTTATTGTGTTAGTCTAAATACCAGTATTACTTTCAGTGAATTATGAACGAAAGTGTAGTGACATACAAATGTGGTTCAAACTATCAAAGTGGACAAAGATTGACAAATATAAAAGCAAGGTCTTATTAGGATTTTCTTTTACATAAAAGTTTTTGATTCTGCTTATAGATAACATCTTTTTACTTCGTTCATATTGCCTACAAAATATTTTGATAAAACTTTCATTATAAGGAGTTTGTTTCTTAACTACCTTGTAGTAATTACATAAATCTTATTCTAGGAACATTCACAGTACAGTTCTATGATGGTGTCATTCGATGTCTTAAGAGAATGCATATCAAATCTATGCCTGAGGATGCAAAAGGGCAGGTAATAATATTAGATATCTTTTTTTTTGTTTCATATTGATTTTTATTTTTTTTTTTTTTGTCTTGGATTAGTAGAAATGTTATCTAGGACAACTAGTTCTAGATTGCAGTCTTTATTCTAGGACTTGCACTGCCTTGCTTCACTAGTTTTATGGATGATACTTCAGATTGTGTTGCTCAAGTAGTCCTGCCTTTATTTGAAATGCCTAGCTGCTGTATACTCCATTGCTGGCTTATCTGTTCCAGAGTTTTGTCTAATAGACTGCATAGAAGCAGAAATATCCAGAGACCTTTTCCTTTGTCTTGTGGCCCTTCAGGAAAAACCTATAGCTTGTTGGTAGTTTGTGCTGGTGATTTTCCATTTATTTATTTTTACCCTCTTGTTTGCTGCACTGGTAGATTTTTTGCCACAGTATGTTCTTATTAACAGCATTGTTCAGTGGGGTTTTCTCCCCTCTGTCAGAACTTATGGAGACAGATAAATATTTATCTCTGAACAGTTCTATATCACTGATGAAATAGAGGTGCTGAGTAGAAGTGGAGGAAGGCTGTGAAGTAGAGGATATGTTTTAATCAGTAGGCATATCTTTACTGGCAAAAGAAAAGCAACACTTAACACTGATGCATGCTTTCAGTGGAAATGCTATTGTGTTTGTCTTGCATGGTAACTGTAGTTAGTGAAGAAATCACTGAAATAATTTGAGACTAGGATGCAAAAGAAGTTTAAAAAATTATTCCTATTTGTTCCCAATGTCTCCAGAATATTTTAACTTGATGAACAAAATTCATTATTTCATAATTTCTGTTGTCTGTCTGTATTTTGTTCATGTGATAAAGCAGATGGACTGGCCTGAGAACATTTCTGTGTTTCTGGCCTCTGTGTTGCAGTTGGTTGTATATCTGCATTGATCATCTACAGAAAGAACATCAAACTGTTGTGCAGGCAACACCCACAGTATTTAAACTACCTTTCCATAAGAATTAAACTTAAGTCATAGTTGCACTACTGGTGTTTTCTCGCTGTGGTGTTACAGTAACTCTGTTGACCCCCCCAAGTAATAATCAAAACAATATTTTCAGTTTAACGTTCAGGTAGGAAGTTGGAATATTTCCTTTTCCTTCATAAAAAGGCAAACTTGGGTAATGTGGTTGTAACTGAACTAAAATTCTCCTTCTGAAACAATGTCATCAAGTCCTTTACTCTGTCCTACACTTCATCCTGGGAGCTCAGAGTTAACTACTTTGAGCCAAGAGATATGTGTCAGTTTCATCTCAGTGGCTGAATACAGGTAGGTTCAATTAAGATTTAAATGGGCTAAATTTACACTTGAGATGAATTTAAAATTTTTAAGGCTGTCTTGCAGAAAGAACAGCACAAGCAAGCTTTCTACAACGCTGATTGATCCTAGTCTCAGTGTTTTGTTCTGCAAAACTATAGGAAGGTACGAAGCTGTAGCTTTCAAAGGCAAAATTAATGTTTTTATGTTCACTGCATCTTTATGCTATGGCAAAAATGTTCCTTTTAAAGTACTTCCATAGTTTTTTAAGAAGGTAAATGTAATCTAAGATTTTGTTTCCGAGTCAGTTATCTGAAATGGAGTTTTAACAAGGCCTAGAACTCACATGAATGTTTCTGATTTTTTTCCATTGCTAAATCTGAGATACCATTTACTGGAAATAAGTTCAAAAAAAAAAAAAAAGGATATTTAAAAAGATCACAGTAGAATAATGTGATTTGGCAGATCCAGCACTTATGCTATGGCTTTTTTATTTTTTCTTTTTCCAAAGAAAAATTTTGCTTCAATAGATGAGTATATGTTTAAAATACTACTTTGAGATCTTGCATGTGAGCAAATTGGACACATGCAAGATTTTTTTTTTTAATGGCTGTACTGAGACCATACAGAATTTAAATTGGACAGAGAAAAAATAGGGACTAGTTAATTCCTTGCAAAGCAATAAAGGCCCTTTTTTTTTTTTTGTAACTATAGCTCTTAAATAGTTTAATTTGTTATCCAGCTATAAGAAGTGTGTGACAAAATTTGTCTGATCAGAACAGGAGCAGTGATTGTCCTCTCCAGAGGCAAATGCTTATTTGAGTACATGTATTTTTTTTTCAGTAACTTTAAGGCTGTTGGCAATAACAGCAGTGGACTACTTCCAAAAGCAAGTAAAATAGCCATATTTGAGTTCAGTATGTTTGTAAGAGATTTCAAACACTGATGCTTGACTACCATTTCTGAGTTTGTGTTTGTACAAGGCTTAGCTGTGAGGGTGGAAATACGATTCTAAGAAGAGTGGATAATACTTGTGTAGCTCAATGCAATGGGACGATGAATGAGGTTCCTCTGCAGAGCAACTCAGATTTATTGAAATCAACCAGAAATGCGGGGAAAGTAGTAAAGAAAGAAAATGAAGATGGGGATATTTAGACTACCCTTTTGAGAGCACATGTGAAGTATTCAGATAACTTACTTTTTCTGTTTCATGTTTTTTTGTTTTATCTTCGATGTAATCAGGCGCGCGAGAGGGAGCAGATAGCGCCGGAGCTGAGATTAGTGACGGAAGTCGAACCAAAAGAAGTGAGTTTTGAGGAGGGTTTTGAAGGAGAGGGAGGGGACTTGGCACGCAGGAAGAGGAAGCTGAGGAAAAAGCGTGGATTTACACTTGGCACACAGGAAAAAAGAAGATGGCAGGAGACAATGTGAGCGGAGATGTAGGTGGGACAGACTGTTTAGTATTTGAAAGGTGAGGGTAAGGAGTCCAGTCTTGCCTTGGAATCAGCCAGCCAATAGGTTGATGGTGTTTTATGTATGTGTATGTATGAATGTGTGGGAATTTGGAATTGTGATGTGTCAGGGGAGAGAAAACAGCTGAATCTGTAGGGCTGTGGAGAAGCATAGAGATTCTGGTTGTAGGTAGGTGAAGGAAGAATGATGTGTATGAATTGTTCTTGGCACAAGGGTCGGGTTTTAGGAATAATCTTTTTCTTGTATTCCTGCTTCTGTGGGCTTAAAGATTATGCAAGGGAGTACTTTAAAATGTATTTTAACTAATTGGTGTGCAAGGCTGTTGGGTAATTTCTACTAACATATTTATTGATTGTACAATTTCCTCTGCTTTGATTTAGTGGATCTAATTGGTGAAACATCATTTTTTTCTCAGTAGTGATTAAATACTGTTTTGTCTTCTAAATACAGCTTCCCATTACTTCTGCCAATTTCTCTCAGCTTATTTGAAAGATTAATCTTGAAATGGAAGGCAACGTAGCTTCTTAAAACAGTAAATGAATGAGAAATACTGATGTGAGTGGTACCCTGTGGGGAAGCGGAAAATTGACTGCATGTGAAATTGGTGCAGTTACAAAACCTTAGCCATTAAAGTGACGAAGTCAGAACACTAGGGATAAGAAAACTTATCTTAAAAGGAGTGTTTTCTTTCTTCATTTTTAGTGTATTTATATCTGGATTCTTGATTTATGTATACAGAATGCATCAGTAACAAGTCCTGCTGTTAAGATTTACTGGCTAGTTTATCTGATATCTGTGATATGTAATGTTCTACTTTTGTGATTGGTAGAGTAGGTACTTTCCAGCAGCCCAGAGGCAGATTTCAGAATTCATCCTGCTGTAGATTCCCACCACGATTAATCTCTCTGCTTTGGCTTCTGAAAGTTTAACCTTTGTTTGCTTTGTAGTTATGTGGTCTGCCACTCTTTGTAAGCTCTGTGCTTTAAAGAAAATAACAAAAAAATGAAATAAACAAAAATCCTTTGTGTTGCACTAGAACAGCTACTGTTAAAACTTGTTGTTTAGTACAGTGTCATCCTGGAAGCTTGGAATCTTCTTCGGGAAATTTCTGATTTCAGGGTGCTTCAGCTTGACTGGAAATGAAAAGGCTGTTTAGAAGCTGTTTTAGTGCAGGCTGTGCTTTCTTTGCTTCCCACTTGCTTCATAAGATCAAAGCTCCAGCTGTTTTACTGATGCTCTTCATCCCTTGGCCAGAATGTAGGACTATCCTCAGGTCTTGTAACTCTTCACCAGGACAAATAGCTCATTTATTTTTTTTATTTATTTTTTTTTTTGTCCTGTTGGATTGACAAGTCTCTGAGTGGACTTGCACTAATGTGCGTGCTCTTTTTGACTGGCTGAAAAAGAAAACTGCTGTGTGTGTTTTTGTTGCTCTGGCTGCCATGTCACCACATGGCTGTGGTAGCTGCTGCTTGTGCAAGCATTGCCAAAGCACTTCCAAACTTTTCTGCTGCGAGCTAGACTGAGTGTTTGCATTGATGGTTGGGATGCAAAACACTACTTGAGTGGCATCAAGCTGCTGATATTTGAGTGCATAGCTTGACACAGCATACGTAACATGCAGAGCAGTGGTTTAAACATACTTAGCTATGGAGAAGGAAGAACATAGCACAAAGTTAATACTTTCTGTGTTATGCTCTCGTACATCAAAGTAGACAAAAATCTCAATAAAAAGTTTTGGGATTTGTGATGAGTGGGAAAAACGTGTTTGAACGACTTACGATTTATAACAGTAAAGGCATTTTAGGTACCACATGTTAACAAGGAAATACTCAGGCTAAAATACAGTTTGTTTACAGTTTAAAAAAAAAAAAAAAAAAAAAGTTTTGCTATTTGTAAAACACTTGGGAAAATTTTTTTTTGTATTAGCTAGTGCAAATCTGAAAATGCTTTTGTAGCCACACAGTGAATTATTACTGTTCAAAATGCATTCAGGAGCGTGATTCTTAAGGGTGGAGGGGGAACATTGCTACTGAGTTTTGTATCCCCTGCTATTTATCTACAAAAAATTCTTTACCTTAATAATGGAATATTTGGGGAAAAAAAAAAAAAAAACAAACAACAAAAACCACAGAACTTTAAGAAGGATAAACACAAATTTTTCAGATCTGATCCCCTGACACTCAGGGGACATAAGGCAGGAATGTAATCACTTTGAACCAATGGAAAGTGCTTTGCTCTGCCTTGCAGTTCTCTCTATGGACTGTAAGATGACTTTACTTCATCTGCATGCTGAAAAGTATATGAATTTGAACTGTAGATTCTGCTGTTCACTCATTGGATGTTTTTGCGTGATCAAATATGACATTATCTAAAACAGTATGTTTCATTACCTTTAAACGTGGGTCCAAATGTTCAGCTGTGATATAGAGCACTTCACTGAAATTATTGAATGAAACTTATGAACTGTAGACAGTGCTCTGTGTTACTCTAGAAACTCAGGTACAATTAGAAAAGATTTTTTTGCTTTACCAATTTAACATGGGAGGAACTCTGTCCAGTCATGCAGCTGGCTGGACTCTGTTTTGACTTGATTTTGGTTTTGAGTAATGGGTACATTTGAGCAACTGCAGAATTGGTGTATTTCATACCCAGAGGGATAAGAGAAAGGTCAGTGTTCTACATTGCTGAAGCTCTGATACACAAAATAGGTAGCAGAGAATGCCTACAGCCAATATTCTATATTAAATGTTTTTTTTGAAGGTGTTTTGCTTTTTACATTTGTGGTGTACTGAAAATATTTCAGATTTATTAAGGCAAGTTGGGAAACTCTTTACCACTCTCGGAATATTAGCCATAAAAATATATTCATATGTTGATGAATCCTTCAAAATGAAGCTTCATTGGGTTTATAAGTACTTTCTATCTAAGTAGCAGATGCTTTTTAATACTTACTTACCATATTTTCCTTTTTGGAGGATTGGATAGCTTTGGTCAAAGCTGCTGCTGCAGCAGCAGCCAAGAACAAAGCAGGAACTAAACCTAGAACCAGCGCAAACAGCAATAAAGATAAGGAGGAGAGAAAATGGCTGAAAGTTCCTTCAAAAAAGGAAGAAACATCAACCTCTACAATCATGCAGGAGGTCCAAAAAAAGGAAGAGGAGCCTACATCTAGTGACACATTTGGTAAAAATAGATTATTTAAAAGTTGATTTATTTTTGTTGAGTTAGAATTCACATAGTTAATTTTGCAATTGATTACTAGGATTTCCAGAGAAGTATATTTCATTTGCTAACGTTTATCAGTTGGGAAACATCTCCTAGCAGTAGATGCTTAGTTGTATAAGAACTTACGCTGTAATGAGAATGTAGTGTGAGTTCTTAAATGGGTTCATTGTGTACTCTGGTTCTTGTTCCTGAATCTGCTGTTACTTGTGAGATAATCAACAGTATTGTGTATTAAGGAGAAAAATATTTCCAATCTGAAAGCTATATTCTTATTTTGGAATAGTTGAAACAATTTCTGGGTTGATGCAAATATGTTCTAGTATTTTTTGACGACTGCGTTTCTCATACCTACCCTGGAAGGGGGTAGATTCAGACTAGATATCAGGAAGAAATTATTTACTGTGAGAGTGGTGAGACACTGGAACAGGTTCCCCAGTGTGGCTGTGGATGGCCCCTACCTGGAAGTGTTCAAAGCCAGGTTGTTTGAGCAACCTGATCTAGAGGGAGGTGTTCTTGTCTATAGCAGGGGGGTTGGAACTAGATGACTTTCAAGGTCCCTTTCAGCCCAGATCATTTTAGGATAACAATGAATAAAAATTACAAATTCTGAGTCATCTAATAAGTTAATATATAATACTAAATCTTTAGATTGTCTCAATTTCATTTTTAGTATCTGTAAAGATTTTTTTAACTCTGATATGCAAATATCAGTTTTGAAATATTACAGTATTTTATTTTGTTATATGTTTATGAAATGTGAGATTGAGATTTTTCTTTCTGTTTAAAGCAGGATTTCCTATAGTGGATGTTCCAAAGATGGCCTTTGTGCAGGCAGAGAGCACGTTATCACACAAGAGGAAAAGTAATCTAGGCAACTCATTTCAGGCAAAGAGAGCTCGCCTTAACAAGATCACTGGTAAAATTTCTTTGTTGGTTGTTCTGTTGTTATGCTTATGTACATTATTCTAAAGAAGATGCACAAAATTACTTTCATCTGGCAGGTGTTCACTGCAGTTTCTTGTTTGGAGTTTTAAAGGAATATATACTAAAAAATATATATGTTTAGCTTGATCACGGATTGGAGTCAAATTGTTATTATTATTGATAGTTCTTACTAAAAGTTGAAAAATGTATTTTGTTATAAAATTCAAGAGAAATTAACTTAAACATGGAAAAAAGTACTAAATTATGTACCTCTTTCTCTAAACCTTCTGATGAGCAAAGTGCGTTTTCAGTATTGATCCTGTTACTACTTAGGATAAAGTAGTATCTTTGTGGGGAAGTAGAACATTCACAAACAAAGTGAAAAAATATTGTGAAGCTCTCTTTAATAGAGAGCCCTTAGGACAAATAGCAAGATCGAAATGCATTCCACTCCTTGTTCTAGCTAATAGTGTGAAATCTGGTAACTGTATTAGGCTACAGTGGTATTTTTTTCTAGTAGTTCAGGCAAATTATTTATATGAAAAGAGTCCTACTTGGAGAAATAAGGCAAAAATATACTGATTTATTAAACTGAGTTATTTTTCAGATTTCTTTTGGTTCATGCGCTTTTCACAGGTCGGGTGCTGAGGATAGTCAGTTTTCTTATGAGTGTGGTTCTGCTTCAGTATAAAGCACTGAATAAGTGTCTCAGTATTATGTATCATGTGAAGAATGTGATCTTTCTTGGAAGGCCTCCTATTTACTGCTGAATTTTGTTAATGGATGCTTGATTGATCAGCCTCATTTCTACTCTCATGACTATACTGTGTGTACACTTGTGTACACTGAGTGAAGTCCCAGTGTAATTTGTGCCCTGAGCAATAAAAGGCTGGGCTATCAGGGCTTTGTAGATCTGTATCGATAATATGAATTGCTTCTTGATAGCCTTTGAAATGTTATTGGCAGGAGATGGCAAAGCACGCTGGAAAACCAGTATCTCTAGAAATGATATTTTTCAGTGTCAGTGGATTTTTTTTTCTGAGGGAACGTTACGAGAAAAATGGAACTGGAATGGCTTCCTGCAGACTGAACTAAATAACTAAAATGCATGATGTTGCTGACAGTGACTTTATTACTGTTCTAAAAACCAGTTTCTGTTTGTCTCCAAGAAATCTTGCTCTCTTAGTTGAGGATGTTGCTGTTCAGTGAAAGTGAATTAATTCTTTAATTACAAGATGAAATTGTCATGCTTTGTAGTTACTCTTTGTAACAGTTCTCTAATTAGCACTTCTGCAGCTCACACACAATTGTTTCTTATATTGCTGCATACAACAGAGCATTTTGAAAGTGTAACTGGTGATCAAATGTTCTTTTCCCTACATGCTTCTTTCTTTTGCCTGTATATTGTCATTTGCCTGCCTTTAGTTTCTGATTTGAAGGAGGGTGGAGGGTTATACTTCTGTGTATCCATAGAAATGGCTACAAAAGAGTCATAAAACAATGTAGCTGTTAGGAAAACTTCGATTTATGCAGTGGCTTATGACTGCATCGATGAAATAGAGTGAGTGATTTGGTTGTAGACAGCTGTTTGAAGGGAACTCTTTTGAACTGAAATACTGTAATCAGTGTTTGTTGCAGAAAGCTCTCTTGCCTGCCACTAGGGCTGCATCTGGTGTTCTTTGTTCACCATTTAACAAGACAAAGTTGCTCTCTACACTTTCTCTTCCACTGCTGGGAGAAGTTACATTTCCTAGAAATGAAGAATATGTTCTGCTAAGCATGTATTAGTGTTCTTTTTCTGATTTTTTTTTTTTTTTTTTTTTTTTTTTTTTCTTCTGTTGGATTGCTTGCTTCCATGTATCCTGCTACCTAGGAGTTGATACCTAGAAGAGCATCAGCAGTAAATCTGTAGAGCAGAACTCTTCAATTTCACTATGCCAACCTGTACTTCTTTTGTTGTATGCATTATCACTGATCAGAGAAGTTGAATCTGTAGTTTTCTTGCTCTAGAAGTTGGTGGAGTTATCTTTGTAAAGGCATGGTGATTGGTTAGAAAGATGCCTAATGGTGTTGGGAGGAATGAAGTAAGAAAGGATATTTACTCATAGCACAGGTCTGACAGTTTAAGTTAGTTCCATGGCTTTACTTGCTGGGTACTGAGCATCTGGCTAGAAATAAAAAGTGAACTCAGATGTTAGGGTTTTTTGTTTTTTGTTTTTTGTTTTTTACAAATAATTTTCATTGAAATTCAGATCACTGTTTATTATTTTAAATTCTATTCCACCCACTTTTGAACACTGTTTCATGCTTTGTATTCTAGGTCAACAGTTATCAATTTGATGAACACTTTTAATTCTGTAATTTGGCTTAAATAAGGTTTATTGAAGTTCATGAAATTTAATTTTTTATGAAGACTAATACAGAATTAAAATCACACTTACTGGTATTCGAAGCATAACTTAATCAAATAGAATTGCCAAAAGTGCCTAGTATTCATATGGAACACAGGAAAAAAAAAAAAAACCAAAAACACGAAACACCTCACATGACCAGAGAAACTACTGAGCATTTCGTGTTTCAGTGCCCTAATGTCTCCTGAGAGCCCTGGCTTCACAAATATATAATTTCTTGGCCACTGTATGTTGTCAATTATTTTTGAGTATCTGTATTTTTTTTTTTCATGGGACGCAATAGGAATTTTCTCAGGATCTTTCAGCTCAAGTATGAGAACTTAAACTTTCCAATCACAATATTGATGATGATGCTAGGGATTATAATAACAAATTCTATTTATTTGTGGGTTGGGTTTTTTTGTTTTTTTTAGGTTTTATCATTTCTACTTTATCACAGAATCACTAAGGTTGGAAAAGACCTACAAGATCATCCAGTCCCAAGTGTCTTAAGTCCAGTTTTATGACATACCTAGGTTCTTCTTATATTTACATAATTGAAGTTACCTCATAAAGAAGAACAGCAGCTACTGCTATATTCTAAATCACCAATCAGATATATTTCTAAGAATTTTTCTCACATATGTTACCATTCACAGAACAAAAACTGTAAAAGTGAAGGAGTATCATAGTCTGACTTATTTGTTTCCATTATGGTCATTTGAGAACTCTGCAGCTGAGAATTCATTTTGAAACTGAATCTCTTCTATTTTATCTTTAAAAGGTTCTTATGCGTTTATTAGAGTTAAGAAGATGTAATAAAATTTTGATGAAATTCTTAAGTATTGATAAGGAGAGAGAGAGAGGAGAATCATAAATTATTTTTATGATTAAAATTTTATAGTTTTTATAATTTATGCTTTAAGTCATGTAGGTTTGGTTTTTAAGTCTGAGCACTTGGGCTTTAAGTGGATGGTGAGGTGTTATTTTACAATTGATTGCTTGCTTCTCAGCTTGTTAATGAAAGTGCCAGAGAAGTACCTCTTGAAAAGATCAACGCTGTGGGAGTGTCCCTTTGCTGTTTTCTTCTAATTGAAAGTGTTTAGTTTTGTCTTGAACTGTTTCAAGAGAATTATGTTGTTGATACAAGCAGAATATAATTCTTTACTCATAATTTTGCTGTTTTCCACAAACTTACTGTAAGGTTCTAACTAAAATCTCTGCAATCTTTCTCCTAAGGTTTATTGGCATCCAAAGCTGTTGTTGCAGATGGTGCTGAAAAAAAGGAAGGCAACAAAGAAACAGCTCCAGTCCTGGAGCAGGTATGAAATGGTAGAGTTTGATTCTTTTGCAAGGTTCCCACTGAAGTGTGCCATGGAGATATGGTACCTACAACATAAAATCTGCCCCTTCAGATATAATAGGGAACTGAAAACTTACCTTATGTTTACATGTCTGGCAGAGCCAGAAGTATGGAATTCAGTTGTCTCAAAATGCAGCGTTACCTTGAATTCTAGTAATGAGATTTTTGTTGCGGAAAAATGAAAGAAAGAAATGAAGTCTCCATGCAGGAAATGCTAGGAGACTAGCACCCCAAGGTCCGGTTTTCAACTGGAACCATGTCTGGCTTAGGAGAAGGCCCTTACACAAACTTAATTTGTGTTTGAAGCAGGGTTTTTGACATCAAGTAGAACTTCTTATATGAGAAGTTTATTTTGTATTGTAGGAATTTGATGTTGTAGGCTTGTATGTGTTTTATGAACTGCTCAATGAGCCATACATTTTGCAAGGGTGTGTATTTTAATAAATACAAAAAAGAAACTTTTAAATAATATTAAGGGTCTGATTTTGAAGCCTGCATAGTTGCAGGACCTGAAAGCTGCCTTTTTATCTTTGGCTTTTTCCATTCTGTTCAGGCATTGCTTTACTCTTAAGTTGTGTGTTATCTTGCGTATTAAAAGGGCTGAATGCCTAAACATGGTAAAACAAGCTAAGGATGAATGGTAGTATTGATTCAGGAGATCTTTGCTTCCCAGTCATTTAAATCAGAGCCTTAATGTAGTTTTAATACAACTTTTTTGTATTCATTTTCATTCTTTACAAGGACTATTTGAGTAAAGTAGCTTTGCTGCCCGCACTTCCTGAAAGAGCACTTCTGTTCTTTAAGCTCTGGCACATTCTGATTAGTCCCTGGCCAAACCTTTACATGATATTTTGGTTGTACTGGTTCCTTAGAGCTGATACATAATTGCAATGCTATGTTTTGTGGTTTTTTTCCATTGATACTGCTTTGGATGCGAGTTCTGGCAATGGCACATGATTTTCTGTTTTTAATGCTGTCGCTGTAATGGCTGTATAAGCTACTACAGTGCCAATGCATTGATTGATATTTTGCATAAAGGTTTATAGTATATTGACCTGACATTCCATTTCTCAAATTTTGCATATTAAAATGCTATGATTTCTTTTTTTTTTTTTTTTTTTTTTTTTTTTTTTTTTTTTGTGATATTTTCAATGTGCAAAAAACTGTGAAATGGCTTACAGCATGTGGTTTTCGGAAGAAGCATTACAATGTAAATCTTACCATGCAGAAATCCCACCATATGAGTGGGACTTTGTGGTTTACATAGACTGTGTATGCAACAGTATAAACTACAATGCATATTTACAAAAAAAAAATTTCTTTGACATGGTAACACGACTGTTTTTATTTTACTGATTAGATAATAGGGAAAAAAGATGTCTCTTTCATTGTTTACATGCAAATGGTCTGAAAAAATTCTTTTTGGGGAAATACTGTTTAAACTCTTTAAAAGAGGCATCGAAAATCCCAAATTCTCATTATTCTTTCCCTTCTAACTAAAAACAGAAACCTGACAAGCTTTTAAATGATCGAAGGGAGGGAAATTGGAGCTTAAAGCTTTTTTTGCTAAGATCCTGCCCAAATTCAAATGAAAATGGCCAATTTATAAACCTCCCCAAAAGGTTTTTGGATGGCAAAGCTGACACTCCTTAATTAGAGGTGTGTTTTCTGCTACTGCTATAAAACTGAATGGATCAAATATCTTGTAGGTTTTTTTAATACTGTAACACAGAACATGGTAGAAGTATTCAGGCTGATAGCTGGAATCTTACTTTGTTGAAGTATATTTTATTTATATTTATATATATATTTTTAGTTTACGGTTGTCTTAAGCCCAAAACCTCAGACAATTAGTTGCAGATACAGTAGTTTATTTAACTGTATTAGGGTGACATGTTATATTTCCTTTTGATCAAGACATGCTTAGATGAATAACATTAATTCATTAAGATTTTTAATGTTAATTTGTCCTGTTAAGAGGTTAAGCACCTTATCAAAATATTAATTTAATTTTTTTAATCTTGTTTAAATAACTTTGTAATTTGAAAATAATGGATGCTGTAGTAATGTCTTTCACATCTGTGAAGATGAACAATAAAATTGTTTATTTACAAGTTATGACTCTAATTAATTTCTGGTAATACCTCTCATAACCAGCATAGGTATACTCTTCAGCTCATGCAATTTTTTATTTAAATGAATAAACAGCACTTAATACATGTGTATTATGGTATTATTCAAGATAGAACTGTTATCTTCTGTGTGGGATGCTTTGCACTGGATCTTTACATGGTAATTCCAGCAAGTTATTCATGTAGCATGCAGGGGTGCCCTTTTACATGCATAGAATGTGCACATACATTTATTTCCACTGGAATTCTCTGTGTTCCAGTGGAAAATAAGATTGTTATTTATTAAAAAAAAAAAAAAAAAAAAATCAACCTCCAAGTCCTTAAATATTCAGGAGTGTGACATCTCTTTTTTAGCTTGGATAAAATGATGCAAAAGTTCTAGAAGTATATACTTATACTTCTACTAGAAGATGCCATGCTGATTGTTGTAACTGGAACAAGATGGGACAGATATAAGAAATTATGTTCAGATATTGTGATTTGTTAATATTGGGCCAGTTGTAACACATGCACAGTTTTTTCAGTCAAGCAGAAAGAACTTTCTTCCTGCTAAAAATCTAAGATGCTAAATCTGCTAACACGTGTGAATGCCAAAAAATAATACCTTTGGGTGTGTGTGTTAAAGTTGAAAATTGATGTTGTTAGAAAGCTGCATCATATACTGTTTTTTCTTCTGAAACTTTTCTAACTCTATCTGTGCATTTCTTTCCTCCCACAGTAAGCAATCTATTTAACCCTCTTGTGCTAGAAGTTGTGATTTCTTCATGTGTTTGCACAAGCATATAACGTGGTGAAATCCAGACTCCCAGCACTTGAAGGGGTTGTGTGAGAGCGTGTTCAGTATTTGGAAGCTTTTTACTGTTTTCAGACATTCTGCAAAGGAGCATTATTGACTTTTTCAGGTTCTTTCCTAGAAGTGAAATTTAAGTTAAACAAAGCTTTCTCAAGTAACTTAAAAATTTGTTGCTACCATCATAGCTGAGTGCCTGTATGTCATGTAACAAGAATTCCCCAAGTTACACTTTGATAGAACATTTGATGATCCTGGTGTACTGAAGATGGAAAAGACAAGCTAAAATGACTTTGGTGGATTTTTAATTGGGAATAAAGGGAAATAGTTTTGTTCTGAGGGTTTTTGCAGCTATTTCAAATAGAAATAAGAGTGTTCTGAATACTGAAAATAATTGATAGTGCTCCTTTAAAAAAAAAATTTAATGTGATGCATTTAAAATATTTTATTTGTACTGAAAGTAATGTTGCTTAAAATGTATTTGAATACTAACATTGCTTTTAAAATTCAAAATAGAATACACGAACTACAGTGAAGAAACTGAAATAAAAGTATCAATTTTTTATTATTTATTCAGGAGATTTCACCTAAACCACAAATTCAGAAAAAAAATGAAGCTGATATTAGCAGTTCTGCCAACATTCAGAAACCTGCACTGTTATCCTCAACTTTGTCTTCAGGAAAGGCTCGCAGCAAGAAATGCAAACAAGAATCTGGAGATTCTTCTGGGTGTATAAAGCCCCCTAAATCACCACTTTGCCCAGAATTAATACAAGTCGAGGATTTGACGCTGGTCTCTCAGCTTCCTTCTTCTGTGATAAATAAAACTAGTGAGCACAGACATTTTAAAGAACATATTGTAATTACTTATGAGAGATATACAGAAAATAATTTTTGGGGTTATAAATGAATATTGCATTTAAAAATGAATCTGCTTTTAAAACAGTAACAAAAAATAAAGCCCAAATGGGAGAATTAGGGGAAGCTTAGTACTTCTAAAAAGATAAGTCACACAGTAAGACATATGAATTACTCTACCATAAATAATACATTTGTTTGAGTCATGGCTTTTAATGGTTGACTTCCTTGCTAGCTTAAATCTCTACATTAGTATCAGGAGTGATGCAAAATAAGTCAAACCTCTCTTCTGAAGGGGCCTGATTCATTAAAAATAAAAAACATACACTTGGGTTGTGGATCTTTCCTTCTCTGGGAAATTCTGTCTTCAGCAGACTGATGATGCACCTGTTGGCTGTGACATTTTTCACCTTAATGTGGTATTGCCATAAATACCATGTGAAAGAGAAGTTACGTTCAAGATCTGTAGGGGGAAATGCATAAATCAGTCTTCACTGTCCCATAAAATATATCGTAGGCGTTCAGCCTCTTAGTGCATGTAACTGATTTGGAAAGTACCAAAATACTGGTCATCAAGATCAGGGAAAGTTTTACCATGCCTTCTTGAATATACTATTTATTTTTGTAGGTACTGGAATATTTCTGTGATTTGTTTTAAAGTTTGTTAGATTTTTTTTTTTTTCTTTCTTTCTTAGGGTCAGACCTTGTTTAAAAAAGGCTGTTTGTTGCTTGGGAACGCTAGATGATTAGGCCAAGAATTTAAACAAGTATTGGCTACGTTAAGTCAAAAGCTAAGTTTGTTTCACTTTTAGAATAGTTATTTAAGAGTGGAAGAATACACCTACATCGTACGTTGTCCTTAACCTTCACTTGATATTTTCCCTTTCAACATAAGTTTCTGCTAGTCTCTTCTCACTGATATTTTTAAAGGAGTGGGAGAGGGAGGTGTGTAAGCCATCTTTATTTAATTGGGAAACGTTGATTTAAATTGCCCTAGTTGCCCCCTAAAAATGTTTGTAGTATGTCTTCCCTCCCACCCCAAGATGGTAAGGAGTTTTCTTTGAGGAATTTTTCATTTTACTTTAAGTTAGGCTTTCTGTAGCAGTACACTTAAAAATAGCTAATTTACAAGTTTGTTAATTAATAGCTTAGATCTTGCTAAAGTTGTGTTTTAATCTTTGGGTTCCAAGTAATTACCACACCTGGTGGAAATTCTTACTCTTTATTTGTTAGATCTCTGCTTTTAAACTTGTGAACCTTTTACTCTAAAGGTTCATAAAGAGAAAGAACAATGATTTACAGTGTATTGGCTTAAATGAATTTTTCCAAGGCAAATGTGTGTGGAACTACAGAAACAGAAAGGTTTAGGGGAGTGTTTTCTTTGTTTTTAATGAATCAGGCCTGTATTATCCTATATCAATCACCCCACTTTTGTTTAAGTGAGACATTCTTGAGCCTTTTTGCTATGCCATGCATTGGTAGTAGACATTTAAGCGTAGTTGGGGTATTGATATCAGGTCAGGAGATGAGATCTAAAATGAACCACTGCTTTTTCTTATTTATTTAATATGTATGTTACTACTATCAGTGACTTTTTAGATCTTTAACTATGGTCATTTGTTCTGTTAACTATACAGACCTGTTGCTGAGTTCCATTATAAATGACCTATTCTTATGTTTTCTGCGGGGTGGGGGGAGGGTTGCTTCTGATAAATACACTGTTTGCTCTTAAAAAAATAGTGTTTTATCAGTGGAGAATTAGATGCCCTATTAATGTATAATAAGTAAAAAGCAGAATTATGTCTTGAACGTAACTTTTCCTTTCTGGTAGTCACAGTTTCTAATTACTTTACCAGTCCATCTGTGATTACCAGCTCTGCAGATAAGAGCTATTTAGAGCACTTCCCATCTTTAGATCTCTAACATACTGCGGTAAGATTATCATATCTCTCTCTGCTTCATGAACATTGAAAGATCTCTTTTTAGGTCCATCACAGCCACTGAATTCCCCTAGATCCTACAAACATAGCCAACGGAGAAGAAGATCACAGCGTTTAGCCACTTGCTCGTTGCCTGATGATTCTGTAGAAAAAGTTTCTTCTCCCTCTCCAGTTACTGATGGAAAAGTGTTCTCCATCAGTGCTCAAAATCAACAGTCATCAAAATTGGAGGGTAATGTATCTTAATCTAATAAAGAACTGCCCAAGAGAAATTGAATCATAAAAATGAGATCTTTTGTGGTTTTCATCTAATGGGACATTTTGATTTACTGTAGCTAAAGCTGAATGCTGTTCCCTTGTTATGTAACACTGCAAGCCAAGATGTTATTTGTTGGGCCTTTGTATCTTTTTTTAATATGACATTCTTTCTTTTATGTAGTACCTGATGTTGCTCATATGTCACTTGAGAAGCGTGGACCCTGTCTCCCTCTTGATTTAAGCCGTAGTTCGGAAGTCACAGCACCACTGTCCACAGAATCCACTTTCCGTAATGAGTATCCCAGTAAAGACAAGGAAGATATTCAGATGATTACATATCTTTCTTCCAAAGCAGTAACTGATGGAAGAATAGCTACAACAGCGTCAGGTAAAGAGATCCAGCGTACAATCAGTTAGGCTTACAGTTGTAGGATTAAAACATGCATGTAGTCAGTCACGTGAAAAGGGGAGATAAGATTTTTGCTTTCTGCAGGCTTGCAAACCTACAGCTCTTCAAGTGGTCCATCCATCTGGATATTCTTTGCCTTCTGCTAGCTTCAAGCTGTATTAGCACTTTCTCTAACATGCCTTAAGACAGAATTGATCTAATCGTACAGAGAGAGTGTGGAATGTAAGATGCAGTATTGCTTTCAAAAATATTTTCTGTTGTTAAAACTTGTTAAAGAAAAAAAATTGTTTAAAAAAAATCATAGCTGTTTACTAACATACTAATACTAAGTCTAGACATACTCATTTATCTTGTAGCTTTAGCTTTAAATTTAGTAGAGTTTTCAGAGCCAGTCAGCATTCTTTCACCCTTCTGTTTGCAATACAAATTTTGTCATTTTCCTGCTAGGAAATGTTATTTGAAAATATTGCTGAAATCCTCTGAATTTTATATGGATTTGGTTCACCCTCATCGTGCAAGCGTAGAGCCCAGTATGGGAACTTGGGGCTATATCTATCTCACTTCTTAATAGTTTTCTAGCTTCTTTCATTTAAGTGAATCACTTGAATAGAAACAATTAGATTCAGAGAAGAGGTCGTGCTATGATTTGCAGACCCTAAAAAAAAAAAATTCTTTTTAGTCTAGTATATGCTAGATGTCCATATGCCCTTTTATTTTTTGTAAATAAGGCTCCTATATGTGTATCATACCATCTTTTAAAAATTGACTTTAATAGGAAAATGATTCAATAAAGTAGGAGAAGAACAGTGAAATTATTAATTATACAGTTATTGGGAAGCTTTTTGATAAATGCATTTTATAACAAGGGACAGGTACTGTTACCATACAGTATGTAATTCTGCCATTCTGAAAATAGAACTTAGACCTATTCAGAGGAAAAATACGATTGAGTTTGCACCGAGCAGCCTGTGTAGTTGCAGTATTCTAGGTCAGTGAAAGATCTGTTCAGTGTGTGTGTGGCTGCCTTGTGTGTCTGCCCGCACACGCTCCCATTGGCTCTGTGTAAGCGGTGATTGATTGCTTTACCGAGTTCCAGCATTGCTACTCCAATGTGGTGCAGAAAAGACTAAGTAGGATTTTTGGATCGATATCGTGTAGGTTAAATGAGATGACTTTAAACATCCCTTGTGTCCCTCTCTTTCTCTCTTCCCCTCTCTCTTTCTCTCTCTCTCCCTCAAAAGAAAAAAAAAAACAACGTATATATTAATCTCTTAAAATAATTTGTCAAAATGAAGGCTATAGAGATTTATAATAACTTATGTAAGCTTTTAAAAATACTACTTAATTTCTCAAGTCAAACCGTGTGGCAATCTCAGCTTACTTCTGATATGTTGTATAGTAAAAGAATCATGGATTACTGGAAAAGTTAGTTATGCAAATGTCTTTTTATTTCATGTCTTTGGCCAGTAGAATTGATTTGAGGAGGTGTATAATTGGCCACTCAGAGAACAGTATCATAATGGAAATCAGCAACTTCTAGTTGCTGTCTTTATTTTCGTTAATTAGAACACATTTTGGTTAACAGGGATTTAACATTTTTTTTCTAGCATGTTTGGAGGATCATTTAAAATGTCACTGGTAATACTGACGGGCGTTTTTTTTGTTGCCTGCTTCTATAATGGGACTGGCTTGACATTGAGTAAACTCCTGCATCTGTACCTATCCTTGTACATCTTGATTCATCCAGTCCTGGCTACAGCTGTGTCTATGAAGAGAAATAACATTTTATTTGTGATTCAAAAACTTTTGATACGTCCATGTATCTGGATTTTTTTTTACTTTTTAAAATCTGAAGTACATTAAATCCACGTCCTTGTATTTGTGTTTCTACTGTTAGATTTTACTGAAGTAGTCTGGACTGACGTGGTGATCTTGGTGAACACTGAGTAAATAACATTCAGTGATAGTGTGGATAGAGTTAGCTAAGTATGTTTAAGTTGAATATGCTTTCTTTTGTAATCAATGAAGCAATTAACTATAGTTTCAGAAATTATGGAGGTAAGTATTTAGGCTGAAATAACCTATTATGATCACTCACCCTTCTGAGGTACTTCTGAGGTTAAGAGATACTTTATATTAGTCCTAGAGATGTAGGTTGTGATTTCAGAAGTTTAGAATTCTGATGGGGCCACCTGTTGAGCAAATTGAAAAAATATATTTACCTCATCAAAAATCCTGCATTTTAATCACTTTTCTATTTAAAAAATACTAACTGGTATCCTTCAAAGACAAGGAATGAGGTGTGCTGAAGTATTGAAGCATAAATGGAAACTGTTAGTATTATCACAGATCATTCACTAAATCACTGCACAAAATGGACCTCTTGTTCTATAAAGGCAGCACAAAAGCACTGTGATCTGTTCCTTCTCTGTAGTCTACTTGGAAATTCTGCGTACTTCAGTAGACACTGGTATGCTTCTTTTTAACTGTTGAATTGAGTACTGCACTGACTGTGGTGTTATACACTGAGTAAATAACATTTGAGCAAGCAGTCTGGAGTTTAAATTTCAAAGGAAAATATTGCTTGCAAGTAAACTAATATTACTAGTTGTTGAAGTAAAACGGTGAATTACGGTGATTGAACCCTGAATTATACTGATTGTTACACTTAAATGTTTATATTTTTGTTGCTAGGAAAGTTGAAACATCAAAAGCTCTGGAAAAGAATGTCGTGCAACAAAATAAATAATTTGAACATCATATAATTTAATTTGCTGAACTGACAAAAGCAGTGCCACAAAGTGATAAATGTGTTTGTAGCACAGCATTCTGTTGTCTGCCTGTTCTCATGCTGGTGAGGTTTCTGCCACCTGAACCATGCCAGCTCTGGAAAAGCACTACTAGAGACATGCTGGAAGGGAAACTGTAAATAGCCATGATTTGCATTTGTTTTTAATGTGAACCCAGTCTTTTTTTGTGCTAGAAACACAAAATAGATTTTGTGGTAATGGAACAATGACATAATCATCAGTTTGGCAAATCCAATCTTGAAATATCTTTCTCTGCTTTTAATTGCAGACTTCTCACATTCACTGTGTGGGAGGTGGTTGTGTAGATTCCTGAGTAGGAATAAATTGGGAATTTAAAAAAACAACATTAGTATTGTAACATCTCCATAATGGGCATATTTTTAAAATGCATATTTGCCCTTTTGCTTTTGTTACTTGCCCTTCAGACTGTGATTGTCATCTTTGTCTAATTTTGTAGTTATTTGTAAGGTATAATAATTACACAGTTGAAAACTGATTTCTAAACCTTAATTTTTCACTTAAGATTTGAGAATTATGGATTTTTGATCTATAATGTTCTGATTCTGTACTATTACAGTAGGTATAGGTTGAGCTATGTTAGTATAAGTAAAAAACGAGAGCATTAGTTTGTATGAATAGAGACAAGAATATAGCAGTATGTGCAGGCATAACAGTAATTTCTCTTCTTGGGTAGCTATACAAAGGCAGTTTAGAGAGCTCTGTCATTGAGATGGGTGTTTGTGTGCCCATAGCAGTTCTCTGCCTGCAGTAAATATTCCCTCAAACAGTTACCTAATTACTACTTGCCTACTTTTATCAGACATTCTTGTCCTGAATTTTGAGATACTAAAATTTGTGTTGTGATTAGCAAACTTGGAACGTGTCTGACTGCTTCAGATCAGGGTTTCTTTTGAACAATGAAAATGAAATACTAAATTCTTCTAAATGTACAGACTGGAACTGAATTATTCTAGTCATTGTTTAAAGAGAGAATAAGTGAAATTTTCATCAAAATAGCAAACCAAATTAGGTGTGTTTGGGTGATTCTTTTATGTTCTCTTTAGAAACGAGACAAGACAGCATCAAGATATGAAGAGCCACTGTTTTACTGAGGTGCTAAAATATATTCACTGGGTGGCAGGTGGCAAAACAGGTTGTTCTTTAACAGAGACAAATATTAACAAGGAAACCAAAGAAAGGAATACTTGATACAGTGTTTCATGTTGATAAGTATCCCAAGCTAATTCTCCTTGAAATAGAGGAAAGCAAAGCTTAGATGGTTCACCAGAGTCAATAGGATTAGGTTCTTATGTGTGATGTTTGACTCAAGCTTCTGGAAAGGCTCAAGAATGGACAGCTCATGAATTAGAAGGTCTCATGCAATTGAGCAGTTGCATTTGACTGCTTGCTTGATTGCGTAGTATTGTGAAGTCTTGTATTGTAGAGCTGGGGACGTTTGGCATTTGAGAATGCTGCGTGGTGTGATAAATGAAGCAGCTCCTGCAGCTTTCTCACACTAGCTTTTTTTACTGCTTTCCAGAGAAGGTTGCGTAGGAGCTGGAGTGAGTTTCATGTAAAATGTGCATTGCATCGTAATAGGGTTGGGTTGATCTGTCCAAGCCTGGAAAGCAGCCCTATAGAGCCACCAACAAGCTGTTAGTGCCTTTCCTCCAGAGTTACAACTGATGAATTTACTAAGTTATTGTAACATTGCCTATTCCAAATCAGCTTTGTGTTTTTCCCTATCTTGACTTCTAGCAAATCTCCTTCAGGCTTTTTATTTTTTATTGTGAAGGGAGCTGATGAAGATTAGGCTTTCATAATTATGGTTGAACAGCTTCCACAATAGCAGTGAACACAGGAACTTATAACAATATCAGTAATTTTCTTTACCAGTACTTCTTTCTTTTTTTATTTGAGAATTACATTGTCCTGTTGGAGTATAAATACCAGCAATAAAATTGTAATTTTAGGTTTTAATTATGCTAAGTTATTTCCTCATTTATATCAATTAAAGGTAGAGAAATTTCTAAGTGTAGCAAGCTTTACTGAATAGTGCAAAATAATTGTTGGTAAATGTTCAATCTCTGTGACAAATTATTACAGTAGCTGGCATGTAATTCAAATATGGATCAAATACATAGAATCAGTGAAAACGCAGTAAACTGAAATATAAACACATAGCACTGAGAATTATGTATGAGAACTGTTCTCTGTTCACATACTGGAATGAGATAACTTGAATGATGTTAACAGTATCAGCACTTCTGCTGTTGGCATTGATTTCCATTACAGTGGAATGAAAAGGAAACAAAAAGGCTTAAAGTAGAAGCAAAAATAGGCTTTAAGCAGAAACATAATTTAGAAATGAATGCAAATTCCAAAACAGACAAGAAACTTGTGGCATGTATTGTTTTGTATGTAAAACTAAGATCTAGGCATTCATGTGCGGTAATTATATATGAAGTGTGATAATGTTGTTACCACTATGTGATGTTTCAGTGATCTTACTCAGTCAGTGATCTGGCTGCAATTCTTACTGAATGCCTAGTAAATCTGTCTTCTTGTTTTCAGCACCCTCGCCTCATGTACATGCCTTACATCTGGAATTGCCTTTAACCAATAGTCTAAAGTTACCAAAAGGGAGTAGTAAAAAAAAGAGGTCTTCCACATCAGTGAGCTCTGAAGGGACAGAGGTACAGTACTCTGTGCCCATAAAGGAGAAATGTTTTGAGAGTCTGAAGGAGAAAATATTAAAGAACGTGATTGAGAAGGACAAGCATTCAGAAGTTGGTAAACTACAATGCTTTTTGTTTCCAGTGCTTTAGAGAATAAAATTAACTGTAAATTGACATTAAAATCATTGTATTGCTTGTATGTATTATGTTATATACCAATAGATATTTTTGCATTCTAATGGTTTTTACAAGAAAGTGGGGTCATTAGTCAGACATTACACTTAAATCTCACATTCTTAAATTTTCAGGAGCAGTGAGAGTGGAAAGAAAAGGAAAACTGGAAGAGAAGAGTTCCACAACATATGGTATGTAGAGCAATGATATTTTTAGGAAAAAGGTAAAAGTCTCTAACATTTACTTGATGCCTCTAAAGCACAAATATAGGAGTGTAAAATATCTCTAGAGTTCAGCTGTATTTCCTTAGTTTGGGATCTTAAAAACTGTTCTAACGTATATGACAAGTTGATAGTAAAGGAATAACTGTGTAAGAAAAGTAATGTTCTCAGAAGAAGGATTTGTGTAGTGCCTGTGAGGGGCCGAAGCCAAAGGTGGGTGTTTTCGGTTGTTGGATTGTTGTGGTGGGTTTTTTTGGTTGTTTTTTTCCAGTTCAATTAGTGATCACAGAATCACAGGATTGTAGGGACTGGAAGGGACCTCTAGAGATCGAGTCCAACCTCCCCTGAAAAGCAGGCTTCCTAGATGAGGTTTCACAGGTGGGTTTTGAGTATCACCAGAGAAGGATAATCCACAACCTCCGTGGGCAGCCTGTTCCAGAGCTCTGACACTCTCACCGTGAAGAAGCTCTTACGTGCATTTGTATGGAATTCCTTATGCTCCAGTATGTGGCTGTTTCCCCTTGCCCTGTTGCTACACACTGCTAAAAAGTCTGGCCTCATTCCTTTGCCCCCCACAGTGGGTCAGATCCCCTCTGTCATCCTTTCTTAAATAGACCCTAAATAGACTAAATAAACACTAAATAGACCCAGGTCACTGAGCCTTTCCTCGTAAGAGAGCTTCTCCAGGCCCTTTATCATCTTAGTGGCCCTCCACTATACTCTTTCCAGGATACTACAGTGGTACTGCATTTATTTTGATGTGGTGGCCTAAGAGAACAAGAGGAGAAAAAGGATAAGTTTGTGTTAGTAACAAAACATTTAGTAATTTGTGAAGTAAGAGGCCTTTGGTTTTCCCCAGCGTAAATATTACAGTTAAAGATGGAATGAGAATTCATATATGAATTGGCCTGTTTTTTTCCGTGAGGGAAGAATTATGCTTCTGAACAGCACAAGAAGATACTAAGATTCAGTATGTATATATATATACAAGAAATAATCTTTGAACACTGGCATTAATGATTTCCTTTCTGTAACAATTCAGTTTCCTTAGCTTGCTGTTGATTACTTAGAAAATGACCATGGAGTGACTGTGCTGTGAGATATATTTTGTCTGGGAGAACTAATAAATAGAATTTCTCTAAGCTAAAGTGCTTGTTCTTATGCATATATCAACAGTGCTGCTTATAAGTGAACTGTGAAGCAAGAGATGCACCGTAAATTTTAGTCAGAATCATTTTTTATGAAGATATTGCTTGAAAGTGCTGACAGCATGAGCAGTTTTGTGACAAAGAAATTTCCTTTAAAGCCTTTGAACTTTCTGTAAGTGTGAAATGTGTTATTATCACATCTTTGTGTTTGGGATTTTGCACTATTGAAGGCTTTTTTCTAATAAACCACAAGTTAAATAGCCGTTAAAAACTACTTAATTAACATTGCTTACCCCACCGGAATAGTTTGAAATTAAAATGTTGAGCTAAAAAAAAATAAGCAGTTTAGAGTGATGTTGTTTTAAAATGATCAAGTTTTCTTTCAGGTAAGAAGAAAGAAAAGGAAAAGGAAAAAAAAGAGAAAAAAGAAAAAGATCATAAATCAAAACAGAAAAAGAAGAAGAAAAAGAAGAAGAAATCTAAACAGCATGGTAAGATAAATGCAATTTTTGAAGGTGAGCCAAACCATTTGGTGCTTTTCTGACAATAGATACTAAAATTTGTTTCCCAACAACGTAAATACAAAAATTAGAAATTTCAGAGAACAGCTTGTGGCCTTAATGTTATAACTAAACAAGTTCCTTTGTTTGTTCCTTTGTTGTGTAAGACCTTTGTTCTTATTTATGAGCTTGTCTCTACATGGTGGATAGAGTATTTCATAAACCTTTTCTGTCAAAATATTATAAACAGGTAATAATGGTTTTACTTCTTGTCTCTTTAGACTTGTCATTTTAAGCTCTTCAAATGTATCTACCTCTTATGTTGTTTGGACATTACAATAATTCTACTGTTTAATCTGTTGCTAAATTTCAGAGGTTTGTTGTATGCAATGGGGCCCTTTGGTGCCCTGGGAGAGACTCAAACAAGGTGTGTTCTCCTGCCATTGAGTTCTTGGGAATGAGCCACTGGGGGTGGAGTTCCTGTGAGGGTCCAGCAGAGCCCTGCAGTTGTTTTTGTACTTCTTTGTGGGTGTGTAGGTGTGCATTTATTGCTTAACTTGTCAGGATAATCTGCAATTACTTCTAGAAAGCGTTGTTGAAATGCTGCAGATCTAAGGAAAAGAGATCTACCAGTAGGATCTCTAAGGATAACAGATGATAAAGGATGAACTCAGGACAAAAAGAAGATACTGTGCGATTTCTTTCTTACCTATACAGATAAAATGTTGTATGAAAAAGTATTCCTCTGTACATTCTGAGGCTGATAGATATGGGGGGGAGTATTAAATGTGTTGTTTTTTAATACTTAGCTACTGAACTTCATTGTGTCTCGTATTGGAAATTTCTGGAAAAATTGAAACAATGGGTATTTGCTACTTCATGTTCACAGCTTAATCATTCCTAAAATCTCAATGTCGGTGTTTTTTTTCTCCTATTAATTTTTTTTTTGAACGCTTTTTTGAGACTTCTCACAAATTTTATTTATTGTAACATTAAGTTAATCTTGTTAACTTTGCAGATTATTCAGATTATGAAGATAGTTCCGTTGAATTCTTGGACAGGTGCTCTTCTCCATTGACGCGGTCCTCGGGAAGCTCTCTGACTTTGCGCAGCATGTTCTCAGAGAAGAATACATCATACCAGTATCCAAGAGCTATCTTGTCTGTTGACCTTAGTGGAGAAAGTAAGTTGACTGGCGCAGAAGTTTCAATTTGTAGGTTTGGTTGCTTAGGAAATATAATTTTAAAGAAAATGTTTTGTATAAATTCTTAATGTAGGTGTAAGTTGTGACTGACTTTGAGTTAAGTAGTTGAAGCAGCCCTGCAAAGAAGGCCTTGGGGGTCCTGGTGGACGAGAAGCCAGAAGTGTGCTTGCAGCCTGGAAGGCCAACTGTGTTCTGGGCTGCATTAAAAAAGGGGTGGCCAGCAAAGAGAGGGAGGTGATTGTCCCCCTGTACTCGGCTCTTATGAGGCCTCATCTGCAGTACTGCGTCCAGGCCTGGGGCCCACAGTACAGGAAGGATGTGGAGCTCTTGGAATGGGTCCAGAGGAGGGGCTCTAAGGTGATCAGAGGACTGGAGCACCTCTCCTATAAAGAAGGGTTGAGGGAACTGGGCTTTTTTAGCTTGGAGAAGAAAAGGCTCTGGGGAGACCTCATTGTGGCCTTCCAGTACTTGAGGGCAGCATATAAACAGGAGGTAGAACGGCTGTTTATGAGGGTGGATAGTGATAGGACAAGGGGAAATGGTCTTAAACTGAGACAGGAGAGATTTAGGTTAGATATTAGGAGGAAGTTTTTCACATAGAGGGTGGTGACACACTGGAACAGGTTGCCCAAGGAGGCTGTGGATGCCCCATCACTGGAGGCATTCAAGGCCAGGCTGGATGTGGCTCTGGGCAGTCTGGTCTGGTGGTTGGCCACCCTGACTGTGGCAGGGGGGTTGAAACTAGATGATCATTGTGGTCCTTTTCAAACCAGGCCACTCTATGATTCTGTGAAGCATAAGTGTTTAGACTCCTCAAGCTTTCTACATTGAACTTGTGTATGACATTACATTAAAAGCATTTGAGGGGACCATCAAGAAATCTTAATGTACCAGCAGTGCATTTGAGTGTGATTTTTTTTTTTTTTTTGACATGTGCAAGTTAAGACTTCAAATGGCAGAAAAATTGTTTTTTTTTAGTTTCTTTACACACAATCTCATAACTTTTTACTAGACCTTTCAGATATGGAGTTCCTGGATGATTCCTCTACAGAGAGTTTGTTGCTCAGTGGTGATGAATACAATCAGGATTTTGATTCAACTAACTTTGAAGAGTCTCAGGATGAAGATGATGCTCTCAATGAAATTGTTAGATGCATTTGTGAACTGGATGAAGAAAATGGCTTTATGATTCAGGTAAAGGAATTAGGGAGGTGTACTTTCCACATAAATTTTGTGCTTTTGAAGATTTTCTTCTAAGGTGTTGGAGACTGAATTTACATTGAGAGTTGTAAATAGAAGTGATCAGTAATAATAAAATATTTTATGCTTGATGTGATTCTCCAGCATATGCTGAAGACTTTCTCTTGGATGGGTTTCTTCTAACCATTTAATATACAGAACAGGTTTGTAAGGAAGAGTGAACTTTTTTTCTTATAGTTGGGGAAAAAATGCTTTTCCACACACACATCATTCTCTCTGTCTGCAGACCATTGTAGTTATACCAGCATTTCTGATTTAGTCCTTACTTTTGACAGTACCTGCTATAGACACCTCAACTCTACTCCACTCACTAAATTCATTGCAGCTGTATACAAGATGAATGAATCTCTGTGTAAGATCTCTGCCATACAGATGTTAATATCAGCATCTTTGTGTTGCAAAGTTTATGCTTCATTTTTAAAACAGTAATTCTCAAACAAGAGACTACTTGCTCATTTTAGGAACTACTAAAATTGTAAGCCTTAGTATAAAAATGTAACTATCGTTTAAAGAGTGTGTGATGTCTGTGTGGCATCCAGCCATTGACAGGTTGCAACTACTGCTTCGTATGCATTTGTATTGCAATGAAGGGTTGCTTTTTCCATCTAGCAATGAATAATTCAAAGTCTTTGTGTCAAGGAATTTGTAATAGAGTGATTAGATCAGATGCAGTGAAAACTGAGGAAGAACTCGGTTGTCAGTAGCTTTAAGAAGTTCATGAATTTCTTCTTTTTTTTGCACTTAAATGAAAGGTATGTATTCCACTATCAATGTGGTATTGTTTCTATTGATAAATACTTTATAATAAGCCTTTAATTGAGTTCTGAAGGAAGCAAGAATGGTTCTCCTGTTAATAGACTTGCAAGTGAGTCTTTGGAAATTAAAGGAAGTTCTGAAAAAGAAGTACACAGACTGTCCCTGGAAATGCATACTAAAATGCAGTGGTATGATGGAGGAATTGAGCAGCAGTTCAGCAGTGGTGATAACAACACAGGAAAAAATGGACCAGTGTAGAAGTTTTTGGAGAGAGGAGAGGAATTTGTAACCATAGTGGTATGACAAGAGGAAAGGTGCTTTGAACATGCTGATGCTCAACATACATGTCACCAGAGGAGTGAGTTTCAACAATGAAACAGCAGATATTTAGAAATCAAGCAAAACACTGACCTAAGAAAAGGAAATAGAAGTGGTAGTTTCCTGCCCACTTCTTATACACAGTGACAGCTTAATGTTGACCACTTGTCTCCTTTCCATACTTTGTGTCATTGAGAGCAACCAGTTCACTGTTTCTAAGCCTTCATGTCTTACCACTTCTGTTTTGCTCTCCTATTCTCTTATTTCTCCTCTTTCATTTTCTCTTCATTTTCTTTTTCTTTTAGATTTTCCATTGGCGCGATATTAAAAACACATCTTTCTAGCGCACTGCAGAGATGCTTTGTAAATATAAATAATTAAACTGAAGAGTTTTCTACTTTTCACTGTTATGCTGTAATGTATTACATTATCTTTCTACTTTACTGTAATGTATTTTTCTGTCTTATGTTGCACTACTAAATGTCTAGGTGCTAACTGTTGAGTGTTGTAATAAAATACTATTAAATATTGCGTCTTCATTTTTTTTCTCCAGTTTGGAATTTGTGGGTGAGAAAACTAAAGCTACCTTTTAGCTTTATGTCTTTGCCTACCCAAACACAGATGACCCAAATATAATTATTATGCTCAAACATGCTGTTTAAGTTAAACTGTTGTTCATTGAATTTTGATGATACAAGTAATTGTTTCTGATTTTTAAATCTGCTTAGTTTTAGTTTTTGCTTTTGTGTTTTGTTTTTTTTTATGTCAGTGCGAAGAATGCTTGTGTTGGCAGCACAGTGTATGCATGGGATTGTTGGAGGACAGCATTCCAGAGCAGTACATCTGTTATATCTGCAGAGATCCACCAGGTATGAGTAAACCACCTTTATCTGCAGTTGTCTGCTTGGGTTTTCTAAGCAGAAGTGTTATACCTCGCTTAAAATGTTAAAGCTTTGTCCGTTTTATGTTTGTTTCACTTCTTTGAGGTTAGATCTTCTAAGTCTTACTGTAGCAGAGATTTACTTTTCTTTCAGTAATGTCTTGTTAAACTTGGCTAAATCTTCCTCATAATTTGAGTTACCATAGCTTTGTTTTTTGAACTGAATTCTTTCAAACCTTTAGGTCTTCTTAATTTCATTGTACTCTGAAAAGACTTTGCAAATGAAACTTTCTTGTTCAAAAGTTTGCCTTGCATATACTTGGAATTGGATCTATTTGTTTAAATATATTTTTTAGATAAAAGGACTCATTACCACAGTACACATATATATGCTATGGCTGTTGTTTAATATTAGGATTTTGTAATGTTTGTGTTTGCCTGGAATTGTGTAAATAAGTTGAATATGTTATGTATATGCAGAAGTCTGGCACTCATGTTAAACATTAGCGCGCAAAATGCATCTTAAACTTTAAGTTTTTAATGTTTCTTCTAACAATTGTTACAAATGTCCTCTAGTGATTTATCCAACAGGGTATCTGAAGCCCATTTGCAGACGTGTTAAATAACAGTTTTCATTAGCTCTTCTTGAGAAGAATATTTAGAAATCAGAGCTGGATGGATGTGATTTTTTTCCATTTGCCCAAAACTGATTGTCGGTTGATAATATAAAGTCATGTCTCGTAGTTCCTTATGTGGTGTACTCTGAGCAGTCAACCCTTTTCTTATAAATAACAACTAATTTGTCTTGTGTTCTTTCCCTGCGCTGTACTAGGTACTTCGTTATCCCCTGCTATATGGAGACTGTGTCCCTAAATTTTATCTTCTCTCCCTTCCTAACCATTACTTCTTTTCTTTCTATGTCAGGAGAAAAAGGTCATTCACAATGTCAGTATTTTAAAGTGTATTGGGATAATGGGCAGAAAGGAGATAGACAGGGTATTCTCCTGAAAGGTATGAAGGGCTTCCATCAACCCGTTCTTTGTTATGTATATGATGATAGTGTGATATGACATTGAGTGTAAGATAATGCAATCTTAGTCAGTTTGTTTGTCTGGGTTCCTCTCTGTAAACAAAAATAATTAGCATTATATATTGTTCTTGCTTTCTTTTTTTTTTTTTTTTTTTTTTTTAATAATTAAGTTACCTTAGAAGCATTAGCTAAGTACTCATTAATGCCTGTTGGGTTAAAATTGTAGATGATATTGTAGCATGGGATACATAGAGGCTGCTTATATTGTTATCCTGTCTAGCAGTGTTTGGCTAAACACCTCTCGAAGAAGAGTGTAAGAGTTCTGCTGTCACATTTTTGAGTTTTCTCTTTTCATGAAGCCATCTTCTGGCTTCTTGTAAGTAGATATTAAATACATTGTTGAAGGAAAATACTTGTTAGTTTTTCCCAAATAACCTAGATGTTTTGGGCATAACCATATAAAATCCACTCTCCAACACTTCCATCAGTAATTTAATTACTTTTTAACTTTTGCAGCTTTTGTAAAAAGAAATGTTAAGTGCCAATTATTTAAAAAGATTTTTTTTTGCAGTTAGATTGATGTACACTTGTACTTTAATCACAAAGGTAATTAGATTTTTCATTTCCAAGTGTCGTTTGGAGAGAGTGAGTTTTCAGCTTGGCTTTGAAAATGAAGTAGCAAGTGTTCCCTTTATATATCCTAGAAAATTAAGTTTTAGATAATCAGTAAAATAATGAGGTCTTGAATCATTCTGTCATGGATATTAGGAGACATTTAGGAGATAAAACAAATAATTTTAGCACTTTAGTTTTAAATGCAGTTCTGTGGCTTTAGATGTGCCTAAATTTGTGAATTGCTTACTCCAGGTCAGAGGTGGAGTGCCAAATATCTTTACGATAAAGACTGGCTAAACAATGGACACATGTGTGGCTTATCATTTTTGAAAGAAAACTACTCTCATCTTAATGCCAAAAAGATTGTGTCAACACATCACCTACTGGCAGATGTATATGGTGTAACAGAAATATTGCATGGACTGCAGTTGAAGATTGGGATATTAAAGTAAGTATCAGTCCAGATTTATCAGGATTTATTGTCATCTTTTAAAATATATTTAAGTAGCAGAAGCTACCATTTCCGTGCATGTTATTTTATCACGTTAAAGTTGTTCCTTATAAAATAGTTGAAATAGTTCCAGTGCAACATGTACCTTCATCTTCTTCAGCAGAGTTGGTTTATAATTTGTAGTATGTTTTTCTTTTTTGCTGTTGCTTGATTTTTTTTTTTTTTAATTTTTTTTATTTTTTTAATTGCTGACTTGGTGCTAATGGGGCAGTGTGGATTTATTCTGAATTGATAAGTGACCTAGCAGTGCTTTCTTATTTTTGATAATGGCACTTCTCTTAGCTGTTATCTATCAGAAGTAGATTTATAGTAGTTCAGCATTGTAGGAGGAACTTCTGTATAACATTTTGCTCATCTTTGTTGTAGAAATAAACATCACCCAGACCTTCATCTCTGGGCTTATTCAGGAAAGCGAAAAGAACAAGAACAAATAACTCTTGGGGTAGAGAAAAAGATGACTTTTCCACATACTGTTAATCCAACTGAAAGGACATATCACAGTCAAAACCATAAAGAACCGCCTAGTTTACCCCAGAAAATGGAAGACACATATATCACGAGTGAGCACAGTTACCAAAAGCCACAGAGTTTTGGTCAAGATTGCAAAGCAGTCGCTGAACCTATGAGCTCAGATGATGAAGATACAAGTAGTTTTGAGGAAGACCAGGAATTTTGTTCAGAGAACAAAAACTGTTTACAGTATTCTTTTAAAGATGACGGCATGAATGAGCAGGTAAGTACCATCTTTCATCTGGGAAGTTTCTTAATTAGGCAAATATATTTAATCTGATAAAGGTCAAATACATAAGTATTCAGAAATGTTTGTTAGAACTCAACATACTCTATCAGCACCAATTAGTGGGATCAAAGTAAGATTGCTGAAATTCTTTCAGCAAAGTAGACGTATTGGTGAAGTGCAAAATGAAGTATTGCCTGTGCTAGAACTGTTTATATTTGTTCTTTTCCAATGTTACAAAAAGAATAAAAAACAGAACTTAAGTGTTTTCTGAGAGCTGAGGAAAACAGAACAAGCTTTCTTTTTTCTCTCAGTTCTATTTTCTACTTGCACTTTTAACTGAGATTTGCATTAGTGTTTATTATCATACCATACTCTCCTTTCAAAAGTGATATTACCTAGAAGTCCACAAATAATTATGCCAATTTAAAAATTGTGTACAATTTATTTTGAGTTTTTAATACTGCGTATTTCTTCTAATTAAAATTTTCAGACTTTTAGTCAGGATTACATTTGGTAATGTAATATGTCTTTCTCAGCTTTGCATTACGTGTTTGAATCCATTGTGTTATGGAAAAGAGCTGATACTTTGTAGTCTGGGCTTAGTCAAAAATTCTCTTTAAGGAAAAAAAACCAACGCAAAACAACAACAAAAAGCAACAAAAAAAAACCAAAAACAAACCTTTCTGTTTTCTACAATATGAACTGTGAGAATAAATCGCTCAACTCATCCACTTTTTGAAGTACAGTTTCTGATGTGGAGGAAATGAGTAAGATGCATCTTTTTTCTTCTAATTCTAGTTTTAAATGTGGCATGTAAGCTGTATGATCTGAATGGGAAAATTTTGGCTCATTCTAGTTAGAATTGACTGCTAAATTGCGTGTTTGTGTAGTAAGTAGACATGCAGCAGTATCAGATAGGCTTTCTTTCCAACAGTAGGTTATATATTTACAATGACAATTTTCTTAGGATTAAGTGGAAAATGTGAGCAGTGAAAAAATGTTTCTGGTAGAGACCAAGTCCTATACCTGAAGAGCTGGGTGCTCTCTCTGCCAAACTGGGAGGAGATCCTTTGGGACAGTATCAGAATACTCCTTTTGGGATGCCTTAGTTCATCTTCCTGTCAGCAGTTATCCCTGGTAGTACAAGAAGGCTTACTGTCTAGTCTTAGATGTGTTGTAGAGCACTCTTGATTTCTCCATGAGCTACTTTGTCACTTGAGCGTCAGCATGCCCCTGAGTACGTTTTGTCATGAAGTGGCTTCAGTGTAAAAAGCTCTCTCCACTTCTCCTTGTCAAACTTCTGGTTTGGATTTTACATTCTCCTTTCTAGCTTCCTGTCTTTTCCTAGTCATGGAATCTTAATGTCACAGAATGGCTTAAATTAGAATCTACAGATCTGTTGCAGATCTTCTTTTCTTTTACAAGTTATGATCAGATTATTTTATTCAGATCCCTTTTTGGACTGTACATTTACTTTTTCCTTCTGAAAGCGTGATCTTGCCCCACCTGACTCTCCTACTTATTTCTTCTTCAGAAGTTGTTGTGTATTCTACTTCCTACCACCTCTTTCAGCACTTCTTGATGACCTGTGTTGGTCTGGCTTCTTGGTCTCGTAGCTTAGAAGAGGGCCTGTTTGGTTTTAAGTTATGTCTTATGAACTGACCAGTTCAGTGAAACAGAGGTCATATAAAGAAAGTATATGGTAGGAAAAAAAAAAAAAAAAAAAAAAACAACTTTGTTACTTAATCTGTAATTGTCTCTGTGTCAAGATTTTTTTCTTGTTGCCACAGGCATCTGAAAAATACACACAACAGAGGATCTAGATGTTAGGATTGTGTAAATGAGGCCTCATCCAGCAAGGAAAAAAACAGCATTCTTCTGTTGTAGGTGTACAGAAAAGTCTGAAAAGTATCAGAAATGGGGCGTTTAATCTATATATAGAATATTCCCAGTGTAATTATGAGAGATGTAGTGAAAGCATTCTGAGGTATCTGAGAGATGGAAGATATTATCTAGTTGGAGAGTTTAGAAGCGTTTATGACGTTCAAAAATGTTCTTTGGTAAACTTTGTGAATATTGTGAATATTAACAGCTTGTCCTCTAGGACTTGCTTACAAAGCTGCCAGCAGGATGGTCTAAGTTGGACTGAATTTTTTTTTTTTTTTTTAAAGTAAGACTTAAATAGTTAATTTTGGCTTATAAAGTGAGTGAAGATCTGTCAGTTCCCCATTTCCTGATTTTCATACTGTTTATGACTGGGAGAAGACATGCGAAGTCTGTGCTGATGTGACATGGAAAGAACTTTGGCACTTTTTTGTACAAGTGTATTAAAATGATTAAATTCACTACTTGCTGTCACGTGAAAGCCATTCCTTGCCTTGAACTGATTCTTTGTGAGCATGTATCTTGAGTTTTCCTTGAATTAAGTCCCTAAACAGAATTGTTAATAGTGAAAGAACTTCCATCAGAAATGAAGTCATAATGAGCGTGAAATTGAAACTTCAAATCCTTTGAAGTAGCGGAGATTCTGAACAGTTTGATTAATGTGTTTTTTTTTCAATCTGGTTTACTTTCTTTGGTCACAGCCAGTGACTGAAACATCAGATAGATAAGATGAGAAATTTGTTTGCTGTCATCTTAGAAATAATTAGTTTCTTCAAAGCAAGCTAATCTTCCACGTACAGCCCATTTGCATAACATGGCTGCACAGCTCCCAGTGTTACCGTCCCTGTACCTGTCCCTGCTCACGTTTAATTCTGGCAAGTTACAGAGAATCACAGGGTAGGCAGCAAAGACTTCTGTTTGAAACAGCAGATGAATGGCCAATTTTGCAAAATAATGACTTCCGACATCTTGGATGTTGTTGTATTTTGTGCAGTTTTCATTTATTCTTTGCCCATACTTGGAGCAATCCTTTGGGTTTTGTATATTTCTGTCGATGTTACACTGATGCAGTTCAGCACTTGATGAATTGAGTCATGATTTTTATAAACAGAGCACAGAAATACAATGTGCTTACTGCAGTAAACAAAACTTGACCTGCCCTCACTCCTACTTGCTCTGCCATTTAAAAAAACATGCTCATTTCTATGGAATTTGCATTTTGCTTGTTTTAGTCTACTGAAGTGTTACGATACATGGTGGCTGAGTATGCTTTTTGTCAAGGAGGCAGAAGTACAGTTCTAAAACAGTGTAGTGTGTCGTGATATTCAAGGGTCAAAATGAACACTAGAAATTAAATAGATGCTCTTAAATGGCAATTTTTTCTTTCTGTTGCCCCTATGAAGAAGAATTCTGCTGAAGGAAACACTGTGTTTGTTTGTAATGAAAGAAAAGGCTCAGAGGAACAAGTGGATACACATCTTCAATGGCAGCTAAATCTCCTTACCCACATAGAGAATGTACAGAATGAAGTCACCAGCAGGATGGACCTGATTGAAAAGGAAGTTGATGGTAACTGCATTTACAGATGCTTATTAATGTACCTAAAATAGCTTATTTCATAGCCACTTGTTAAAGGCAATATCAGACTGAGGATTTTTTTTTTTTTTAAGTATTGTATTCAAAACTGGATACTCAAAATTATATTCTGAGCTTGCAGTTCTGGTTTCACCCTCTTCCACAAGGTTTTACTGTTTATTAAAGTAACTTAAATTGGTCAGGATGCTTGAGCTCAAGTCTGTAGTATCAGATAGATTTTTAGAAACTTTAGATGATTTGTCTGGTCTTTGTCCAGATGTGGATTATAAAGTTGACAGCCTTTTTCTGCAGCTGGCTTGATTGTTCTGTTGCTTGACAGTATTTAGGAAAAGTTTGTTCATTCTGCTGTCGTTTTCAATTTGCTGTATTAGCGTGTAAATGGATTCAGGAAAACAAACCAGGCTTCCTGGGAAGACATGCATGAGATTGTACTGCAGAAGTAAACATTGCAGCACATGAATTTACTCACTAGTTGTAGAAAGTTAGGAATGAGGGGAACTTGAGTGCAGTGTTTTCATGAGAGTCCTTCATCATTATTTGACAAATGGTCATTTGATTCTTATTTGTGGTCTTATTACTGCTTCATATGAGTCATTATTTCTAGAAATACAAGGTTTGTCTATTTCCTTTTTTTATCTCTACAAGCATAGAAGTTAATTTAAAAACACTGAAGATTGGAAAACTGTTCCGTAGTCTGATTCGTATAACTAGGAGCTTGATTAAGTGACAGGAGTGAACCTAGAATTTCACTGATTATGACATTCCCAGACTGCTTCTTCTGTTGCAGATCTGTCATAGGTAGAAGGCTCTGGGCTGAAGTTTCTTTTTTATGTATAGGACAATAAATCATTAGCCAAGGCTGTACTTTGCTCTCAGGTATCTATAGTAACAATCAAATCAGAAGATATGCTTGAATTGTTGAAAAATCACAGCCTCAATATTTTTTCCCTTCTCATTAAGGATAAAATATTAAAGAAAGGTTTAATTGTTCTGAAAATTGTTTCTCAGAGACTCATTCTGATTAATTTCTTCTTCATTTTCCTTTGTAGTTTTAGAAAGCTGGCTTGATTTCACTGGAGAACTGGAGCCACCAGATCCTTTAGCAAGATTGCCTCAGCTGAAGCGACGTATTAAACAGCTTTTACTTGACATGGGGAAAGTACAGCAAATAGCAACACTTTGCTCTGTATGACAAAAGGAAGAATAAAGAAATAAAAATAGGTTCTCTACGGTGAATTTTCTTACTAGCCACAAGACTGATAGGAAGACAGCAAAAAGCTGAGCATTTATATCGTTCTTCGATTATTACATTAATAGCCTAAAGTTTTAGGGAGTGGAGAGGAAACCTAGAGTAAGCAATCTGTTATACTGAAAATCTAAATTTTCACATCCAAACCTCAAAATATGATGTATTACATACTGAGAAATATTTGTATCTCAGTATGATAAACGAGGAAACTTCTGCATACAGGAAAGCTGAACAAAATCTCTGCAAAGAATGGTTCTGCTATTTTGAAACGTAGTGGAAAATTCTGAATCCGTGGAATTCAGCTGACTAAAACTTTTTGAACTGCATTTTTACAAAATTCTTATCAGTAAAAGACACAAAGAGATCTGCATCCTCTCTACAAGAAAAGTTTTTAGATTATTTTCTTTTCTCGTGAATGTTCAGGAAAGTGAGCATATTAGCTTTGGTTTTGAAAGAAGCTACTTGTCACGGTCTCCTTTTCAAAGTATTTTTTTAAATAGAAAATTTTATTACAGCACCCTTAGGCTCCTTTAAAACGTAAGTGGCAAACAGTGGTCACATGTGCCAAATAACATTACAACCACTGGATTGAGATTTTCATTATGGCTTACATGAAGGTTTTTTCCGTATTCCTACTTGGTGCCAGCAATCCATCCAAAATTATATCTAGTTTATATTTTTTATGTTCTGTGGGGAGTATTCAGGATTCAAAGTACAATTTTTGTCCTGGGTAGCTCTGTTCTGGTGTTACTTCACCATCCTCAGCTGGGATGAGGAAATGACGAGCAGTGAAACTCTCTGTGGCTGTCAGTGTACTCAACCACTAGAATAAATATTGCAATATACATTATACAAGATTTATTTTTTTGGAAAAAAAAAAAAAAAAAAAAAAAAAAAAAACAAAAACAAGAAAACTTCCAGCTTCAGTAAATGCAACATCATGAAACCAAAGGCAACCTAGCTGCTCTGTTAGCTTCTGCTGGTTTTTGAGCCCAGGACTTTCCCTGTGCTTATAAGTTGCCGCTGTACCCAGTGCTACATACATACTTGTATGTGTATGTGTATACATACACAAATACATTTATACATAGTATATACATTTATATCTACACATCTATTTTTTTCAATAGATTATAAGAACTGGTGGTTAACATAAACCGTTACCTTTTAACAAACAGTTTCTAAAATTGAAAATAATGTATGTACAGGTTTTGAAATTTGTAAAATATGACTGTTAGAAGGAGGCTATTTAACTGATGACAAAGATACTTGAACATTTTATGCCTCACATCTGTTTATCAGTTCTAGTTATCTGTATAAATGCATTTTAGAACCGATAGACAGTAAACTTGAATTTACCTTTTGATAAGAGTACAAGCCACTGTACATTCAAAAATTATTTAAATTTGCAAACACACTGTTCTATATGTAAGGTACTGTATGTAAAACTGTTTATTAAAACTATTCTGCGTACTCTACATTTTCAATTTTTTTTCCTGATCTACATACAACTGTTGTTATAATGTACAGACATCAGAAATTCTTGGAATGCCTTCTGAGGATTCATAAAATTGAAAAACGTGCCAAAGATGGTTTAACTGGGAAAGACACTGCAACCTGTGCACTGAACTTTTATGATAAAAGCATTATTGAGTAGCGTGGCTGCTAAAAAAAAAAAAAAAAAAAAAAAGAAAAAACCCAAAAACCTTCCCTGATATTTCTTGTCTGCCTCTCTTGTTTGAATTTACCACTTTCGATGTGCAAAACAAAGTGTAAGCCCATGTTACTGAGTGGTTGCTATTCAAAACTTGCCACATCAAGCTTGTAAGAGGTATTGGAGAGCTATGATAACATGGAAGGTGACTGTAGAATCACAATTAGCAACTTTGCAATACATCAGGAGGAGTTGTTGACATTTTTATAACTGTTAATAAAGAAAGTATTCTGATGTGTTACATAGTCGGATTAGTTGAGTGACCTACTTGCTTTTGGTATGTGGGACTTTAATATATTATTCACTTGCTGCATATCCTTGAATGTGTTGCTGTGTGAACTATGTAAGAGAAATGGAAATCCAGTTAACTTTGAAGGAAAATGGAGTGTACTTACAAACTTTTATACAGCATACACTGTAGTGATGTTATGCAGTGTGTGTGATATAATAAACTATAGATGCTATGGAAGGTGGAGGTGAACTAAGAAATTCCAGGTGAGAGAAATGAGATTACCTTCTTAGTGCAGAGGTGGAGAAATGGTATCTGAAAAGGAAGTCGTAAGGTCAGAGCTGAAGTTGCCTGTGCAGCTTTCACTTGTCTTCCATTGGTGTATGCAGCAGCCTAAATTTACATGAATACTCAACTTTATCTCTGAGGATCCTGCCTGATTCAGGATGGACTCTGCTTACTGAAACAACGAATCTGATTAACATTTATGTTTGTCTTCATTTCTTGTGTAGTCAGTCATTATTAATAGGTGCATTCCTTGCAAGCATTCACATATTGTGAGAAAATATAAGTGCTTATGGGCTGTGATACATTGTGTATTGCTTGAGTGCTTCACAAACTCTTCTTGCTTCTCTTTCAAATTGCAGTGTTAGTCTGTGACACCTGAACATTAGTTCTGGCCCAGGTTTCTCCGTTACTGAAGTCAATGGGATGCTTTTGAAACATCCCATGCAGCTTTAAACACAAGTCAGGTGCCATAAAATGGCTGAATGTTATGCACAGAATGTAACCTACAGTTGATTGCTTTACTCAGTTGCCAGTCAAACCTGATGTGGTCTGGTTCATATACACATGTCTTCTAATTGGCCTTATCAAGAGAATAATTTTTCTCTGCGTTATTTTCCATCTGTCTTCCTGCTTCCTCACTAATTAATCCAAGTATCTATACATAATCTATTTACAGCATCAGTTACCTGGACATGAATTTCAGTTTCTTGTGATGGTTGATGAAGGAGGCAGACTGCTCTGAGGAGAAAGTAATAGTTTGTGGTGTTGTGCTGATTGTTTGTGATACTTCTGTGCAGATAAGTAAAATACAATTTTTAAGTTTTCGTCCTTTTTAAGTAATCAAAAAAAGAGAAATACCCCATTACCTCTTGTGAGGTACAATACTAAATGGCAAACTTGTGGAGCCTTTAAATGCTGTCTTTGTCTGAAATCTGCCCACCTGTTTTCTGTCATGGAGGTTTTGGGAGTGATTCATTTCAAACCCTCCTTCCTGTGACAATATTGAAGGCATCCACATCAGGATTTCTAAGTTGCAGTGATGGATGTCAGTGTTACAGTCATAAATGAAGCACAGACCTGGTGACATAGGTAGCCCTAGTACATGTTTTCTGATGATGTTGCAGTTGTAAAACAGAGATACTTCAAATCACATGGCAGGAGATGGAAGATAGTTCCTAAAATGTTTTTTTTCTGGGTAACTGTAGGGAAGCTAATTCCCTGTTTTAGATATTCTGAATTTCAGTGCATATATATTTATTGAGATATTGAGTGATTAACAGCTGCAGAACCTTGTTATTTTTCTTAGGTGCTGAATTGCACTTTTCTAATAGATTCCTTTGCTGGCTTGCAAAGAAATGAACCTGTTTTTTCCATGGGTGAAGTCTTCTTATAGAGTAGCTATCACCTGCTGATTCACTGAATATCTGTGTTTCTCCTTGTCCTTAGATCCTTGTTTTTTTTTCCTAGTAATATAGAGATGCTGATGTGTGAAGGGGTGGGTGTAACTATGCCATCTATTTGCAAATTGATACCCGCTTTTGCCATGTCAGTTTAGAAGACTGGAATCTTGTGTTTTCTCTCTACTGCTTAATAATGTTGCAGTCTGTCAGCTTTAATTTCACAGTGCTTATTAAGATCAAAGTTTAATCACTATCTAAATGTCTGTTGCTGTCTTTGTGTTTGATTGGTTGCTACTTTTTTTTCTCTTACACTGTGTCTGTATTGCTATAAGTGATCATTTTACAAAGTTTTTATTATGCTGTTATGTCCTTGGTGCTGGGTGTAGGGGCTCGTCTTTAGCCATTAGAATTATACACTATGTGTATATCTGTTATATATGAAAAATATGACAGAGCATGTGACGACTGTGAAAATACACTGCACAAAGAGCAGATTGAGCAGTTGGCAGCCATTTTGCACCAACCTGAACAACTCAAAGGAAAAATTAGAAGCCACGTAGAGAAAATATGAACTTGCATGAAAAGTCTTTCAGGAGTGAATCTCCCTTTTTGTACACTGGGCTGTGTGTAAACTGTAGATGAGCCAGGGGCTGAGTAACTACAGTTAGCTCAACTGCTGTTTACTTCAACCAGCAACTTCCTTTGCTGGCAAGAGCTGTCTTGTTCAGCTGCAGCTGTGGGCATCGGTGTATTGCTACCAAACGCTCAGAGAGGCAGCAGTACACTACTATAAAATCCTCTATGAGGTACACAGAGTACCTTTTCTGTGGTTTTTTATAATAGCTGTAATGTTGGACGAGTTCTAAAACGATAAAGATCTTTGAGATCATTATGTGCCTGGACTCCCATTCAGTGGACTTCAGTTTTAGTGAGTTAGTAAATGTTCGTATACATTTAAAAACACTAGGGAATTTTTAGTGGTGTGCTTAGCCTATAATAAATAAACTACACAGGATTGTGGATATTCTTATTTGTATGGATCTGAAAACCTTAGAGAATCTTCAGTTGTATCTTAGCCCATAGCCAAATTATGTAATCAGTAAATTATTCACAGTCCTGAATGCTCTTTGAAAGGGTAGATAGATAATAGCAAGACGGGGAAATGGTTTTAAGTTGAAGGAGGGAAGATTTAGGTGGATGTCAGGGGGAAGTTCTTTACCCAGAGAGTGGTGAGGTGCTGCAACAGGCTGCCCAAGGAGGCTGTGGATGCCCCATCCCTGGAGGTGTTCGAGGCCAGGTTGGATGGGGCCCTGGGCAGCCTGGTCTAGTATTAAATGGGGAGGTTGGCAGCCCTGCCTGCAGTGAGTGGGTTGGAGCTTTGTGATCCTTGAGGTCCCTTCCAAGCCTGGCCATTCTATGATTCTATGATGATGATTCTCTTACCATCAAAGTAATTGCAACATTTTAATGTTCCTGAGTTACTTCAGTGTCCGACAGTTTCAAGGTTTGAGTTTTGCAGTGCATTGTCTTGAAATACCTTGTCTTTTAACAACTTCAGAGAGACAGTGGCACTCTTGTTTCTCTGAATATTATTACAAAAGAATGTGTTGTGCTGATTTTTTATATTTTTATATTGCCTATAAATGACTGTTCAGGACTTTACTGTTGTAAGAAACAAATACACAAACAATATCGAGGAAGTTCCTGTCCTAGGTGTGTTGTGGACTGAGGCATAAGTGGTAAGCAGGAGGTGAACAAAATCAGGCAGAATCTGAGTGAGATACTAATACACAGAAATTGTTGAGTTGTTCACATGGCAAAAAATGTTATAATCTTGAACATTTAAAAAACAAACCACTAGATGTATCATTAGTGAAGGCACCATCTCAAAGCAGTCTCTCAAACAGTGCAAAGACAAATTCAGATCTTGGAGTAATATCTGAACTGCTGTTTTCTTGTTCTGAATCAGATCGAGGATCCAGAAGGTCAATGCAAGCCTTTGTAGAAATATATTGACTGTAAAAGCTCTGTGCAAGTTGATCTTTCCCTTATGATATCTTTCATTTCTGGATAACAAGAGTTCCCTCGATCGAAGTATGAAGATTTATCAGTTTTATCAGTCACTGCTGTAGATCTGTTCTCCATGAGTTTCCTTAATCCACTGCTCTCCATTTGAGAGAGTTCTTTTTTCATCTCCATAACAATCAGGAGACATAAAAAAAAAGTATGTAGCTTTTTGTATGCAGGACTTGGATTTCTCCTTTAATTTGTTTTCTCTATTCATTGACTGTATTATCAGGGAGAAAAAAAAGAGAATTTTGTACTATCAGAAATTCAGCACCTTGTTAGTGACTAATGACTAGGGAAGCTTTTTGTTTTCTCATGGTTTAGTTTTCATTTGCCAAATATTGAATCTTAGTGTACAAATCTATCCATTACTTGGTTGTACTGGATGATCTTGGAGGCCTTTTTCAACCTTGATCGTTCTGTGATTCTAGCGGGGAAATGGAAATACAACATGACAGGAAAAAAAAATGAGAAGTCCTTTGCCTGCTTTTCTTACCTCCAGTTTAGTGTTTGGGTACTTCCCCATCATACTTTCAATTTAAAGAATGTGTAAAGTGACTCAAATGTCTGGTATCTGATGAAGCTGTGCTTCATTTTCCTTCTCATCTTCTGATTTTGCATCACTTTATGCATTTTTTGCCCCTTTTTGAGGATTTAATTAATGATAATTGCCAAAATCATGTGAAGATGTTTGAAATAAGATCATTATACTTGGGAAGAAATGTTCTTGTGCTTACAAATATAGGAGAAGTTGTTAAAGAATGGCATGATTTCTATATC